CGAAAGGTCGAAGTTTTCGCGTCAGCCAAACTTAATGGGCTCGGGGAACGTGGGTGGTGGCCGTTCGAAACAGTGGTCGATCGAGTGGAAAATAGGGTACGCGATTTCCAGCGATCAGCAAAAGCCGGGAGAGACGATAAGAGCTGCAATGACCGTCGTCGCGATACCAGAAAGAAGTACTCGCGATATCGCGTGGACGATAAGACCCGTCTTTCCATTTGTTTGCCGTTATTACAGCCCGACTGGCCCGTGCAGTCTGGTTATATCCGGTATCAAGATGTCCTGGACGATGATACCGCCCGGATACGAGTTACGTCTGACTAGAGCAACGACTGAAACGGAAACGGGGAAACGTGTAGATAAACGCGAGCGTTAGCCTCCGTTATCGGTAACACGTGTTCTAATGCGTATGAAACGAGCCTTGTATACACGTCCCGTCATTCGAAAACCATTTTCGACGCGTATCACTGATGGAAAAGGTAGTACTAACGCTTTGGATGTCTCCAGAGACACGAGAGAATCAAGGATTCACGAGTAATTTAAGGTTGCTTTTTGACGAACTCGGACAGTCTGCGAGGTGCTTGATCTTTTCACTGGAATACACGGTTAACTCGTTACAGTACAGATTCTCTGATAAATTATGCTCTGTTGCTGCTCTTCCGAAGTACTTTCAAGGTTCTCTCATGGTTCATGGATTCCCTGGTGACTCTTTTCATCCTGCGATATCCACGCGGTAAAGAGAAGCAGTTGAAAGGCTCGCGTTCGTCGGAGTCAGTATCATTGACCGTAATCACTTTATTACATTTCTAATTTTTTACAAAAATTAACTCAACCATTTTCCGAATGGCCCCACCAAAATTAAGAACTCAGGCTCGGTATATAACCTAAATTGACTACAAGAAACCGATTGGAGTTGGTTTCAGAGCTGGATGTCTTACCGTTTTCGAGATTCTGGTAGTCAATTTAGGTTATATACCGAACCTGAGTTCTCAATTTTGGTGGAACCATTCGGAAACTTATCCCTTTTTTTCCATTTAACGGTATCACGAGTGGCCACTGTAATGAAATGGTTAAAAACGTTTACTCTGCCCTCGGGCACTCGTGTAATTAATGATATAAAACGTGAGAGAAAAAATAAGTGGAAAATATGGAGCGAAATTTTTTTATACAAGTTTTCCAAAAAATCAATTTCGGTAGCTCGCATATTACACGCGTTTTCCTGACCAGGATTCCTTTTAGGAATATTTCATTCGACGAAAAAAACTTTTCGGTGGAAACGTCGTTCTAGATTTTCAAATTATATTGTCATCGCGTTTTCACTCGTACCACAAGTTACGGGGAATCCTGTGTATCGGGGAGTAATTAAGTGTCAAAGTTCTTGTGTAGTTTCATCGAGCCGAGCCGCGGCGAGCGATTCTGATTCAAAGTTTCGCGTTTCGGCCGACAATTCGAGGTCGGAATACCAAACGAATTTCCCCGGGGTTTTCCGTGGAAATGGCTCTTCTGAAAATAGTCCGGACAAACTATGAAGCGCGGCCGAGATTCCAACTGATGTTTGCCCTTTGTACCAGAAGAGTGGAAATAAATGCGCTTTTAGGTTCGTCCAGCGTTCATCATCGAGCATCGTCTTCCTCGCAACAGGTTTACGATGATAGCCGTGCACCTCGTATCGGGAATTTTGTGTTTGCGATGTTGCTCGAAGCTCTTTTATCGTTCACGTCTTTTCAGCCGAGAGAAAGAATAAAAGTCAAATAATAGCTGGAACACAGAGTATCTTTGATGTCTTCGAAAATGTTATCGCAACGACTTAAGCGAAGTCGTTCGAAGGATGATGTTCCATGATAGGAGTGTATACAAAGTTTGGTCATAATGGTTGATTTCTTTTTGAAAGAACAAGTTGAAAGCGTGGAATAATCTTTCTTTCTTAGGAGGCTTTGTTTTTACTAAAAATTAAATATGAATGTATCTGGTGCATTGTTTGCTTTGGCCTACTTTAGCGTTCTATAGATTTCTGTCTGTATGGTCTGTCTCTTGTTGTTGGCAAGTTAAGAGGATCTTATTTCTCTTGACTTATTCATGGGATCATGGTAAAGACATCGTTCATAAGATATCGAAAGTATCGAAGGGAAGTTCTGAGAAAAAAATATTAATACTATTCAAATTTTCTTTTTTATTTTCTTTCATTAGTTATTCAGTTACAGAAAATTGGAAATATCGGTGAAATTTCGGTTGACTTCGATTTTAAATAAGGACCTCTAGAAAAAAGCTGTCGAAGCAATCGGTTTCGATAGCATTGTTCCGGTCAACCGAGTGATTTCAACAATTCGGATCAGTTATCCGGATCTCTGGAAGACTCGATAGCAAGTATCCGAATCCAGGTTACTAGGTACAACGAAGAGTATTTCCTCGAATGCTGGTATCTCCGCATAGCGATCTGCATAGCGATTTCGTTGAATAGGGCGGAGGCAAGATGTCCGACCGGAACTGTCCCTTCTCCGAAGGGTCTATCTTCGAGAAAGCTTGGATTTCGTCCGCTCGTAGAAACGTAACCCGAATACTCCAATCCTCTTCGAGGTGACAGCACTCTCGCGAGAAAGGGTTTAACGACAGAGAGGAAAAAAAGACACGACTCGACAGGGTGTAGACACAACCGGAAGCTCCTGGATCCCCTAATTCTCTCTCTCTCTCTCTCTCTCTCGCTCTTTCTAACGCAGCACAAGATAAATAAAACGAATATTTCTAAGGACGCAGACTTTCACGTGATTCACTTCACCTTTTCGTTTCGTCTTCGTTTTTTTCATGCATGCTAACTGACGAACCGGTTAACCGTAACGAAAATGAATTTCAAAGCCAGGGATACATATTTCTTTCGTTCGTGTTAAGTAAACCGGAAGAGCACGGTGGACGTTAAAGGTTACAACGCCAACTTAATCCGTCGACCAAGCCGGTAAGGCGAGAAAAGAACAAGAAAGAAAAGGAAGAAGGAACGAAAAAAAAAAAAAAGAGAAATTGAAACGAGATGAACAAAAGTTCCTTCATCGTTGTTAATTACTTTCTTTTCTCTGTTCATCATTACAGTAATTGTACATCATCACGATCATCAGCATTTGTAAAATGTTCGATGTAGATCTCGACAGTTGAACGAGTTGATCTTTGATTTTAGAATTTAGACAATTTTGTTGTTCGACGTTGATTTATTTCTACTTTTCACTTCCCTTTGTTTCGTTCTCACGCGTGTTCATATAGTTAGAGTATCTCATTTAACATTTTTAATTGTACTCATTTTTTTTCTTTTTTACTCTGTTTGTAGCGGTTTCGTGTACCGAGAAATTTAATTATTGTGCTCGTGTAATGCAACGAAATGTCTGTGACGGATGTAAAGCATGCGTTCGCGTAGTTAACGTTTCTGGTTCGTACGTTTCTTTTATTTTTCGTTTTGTTCTCTTTATTTTTCTTCATTTTTCGTTCACTTTTCCTTGTTTTGGACTTACAATTGTTTCTCTTCTCTATTATTATACGAATACGAGCAACTTGGAATGACGATGGAAGAATGTTGGAAGTAACGTTTACATTATTCTATACTTGTGTGCCTCGAGTTTTTTCTTGCGTGTTTTCTCTTCGTATATTCAGTGACAAGTAACGTGTCTTTTTTGAGAACATAGGTACCGTTTGCGTTGTTCGTACGTTGTTATTTGAGCCGTTATTACATTTATATATCTATATTATATATTTGAATCTCTTTTTTACTTGGAATGATGCCTGCCGTGTTTTTATATTTTAACGAATAACGATTTTTTGCATGAGACACATTAACTCCCTTTCAGCATACTTTTTATCACACGATATCTTTTGATGATTGATTTTCATTTCTTTCCAACAGCATTATCTACGAGTTTTTTTCATCCATACCCCTTTTCGTTTTCTTTAAATTAACCCGCGTTATATTATTTATAAAATTCAGTTACATTATTATGCAAGCACGTTTTCTCTTCATTTCTTTACGTTACAAAATGCACGTTTTTCTTTTTTGTTTTCAGACCGATTACGTTCAGACTGGTTCTTTCGTTCGTTTAAACGCTGCTCGAAGTTTTTCCTGGTAATTAGTTCCTTTGATTGAGACAAACGAATGAGTAAACATTTCTCTACTCCCCCCCTATTTTAAATGCGACATCGTCAATTCAAGTAGTTTAACCACACAGACAGCATCGGTTTGTTGAGACACATGTTGTTATTTACACTCTTAGCGATGCGTAAGTATATACAGTACATCGAACCCGTTTAAAATGCATGGATTTCACGACACGAATACGCGAGTACAACAGCAACAACACGCGATCACGAAGACAGTAGTAAACGTAGAGGTACAGAAGACCGATTCTCGTCGACGAACAAAGGTAGTTCCTTCGTCACCGTTCATACAGGAACAATGGTTAATTAGCCTGACAGAGAATAAGTTTTCATTGTTCCTCTGTTACCAGTTAACGTCAAATGAATCATTTTTTAATCCTAAAAGCAAAAAATGGGAATAATTGTTATTCGCCAAGGGGTAAATCTATTACACGTCGGCTTTGATAGACAGCTCTTCGTTTCAAATTTAATTTCCAGATTCATGCGCTCGTTAATTCATATTCAAAATTCAATAATTTGATGGTTACATAAATTCGTGTAATTTATGACATTTATAATTTTATACTTCCCCCCTTTTATTATGTTACTTTGAAATTTATAACGATAACAGATTCTGTCTCGATTCTCTTCACCAAAAATTGTGTTTCGTATTTTCTCCCTGTGTCGTACGAAATCGATCGGACACCGGGGAAACGAAGTATTGTCGTCAATCGGGATCATCGATAAGATGCCGGATTCGGGTACCATTGTAGGTACTCGGGGCACAGCATCGACGACGAGGATCGGTTCTTAGATCTGTCCACGATGGAATGCCGGTTTCGAAACGAGCCGGCGAGTTGGGAGATTTTAAGCCAATTGGATCGTATTTTTAGTGCCACCACGATGGACGGTGGAACCTATCGACCAGAACGCGGTTGTAGGTCACGGAGTCTCCATTGCCTGTCAGGCTGAAGGATTCCCTATTCCGACTGTGACTTGGAAGCAATCGATTGGTAAGTCACGATTCCTTGAAGCCAGATACTAGGACGATCGAGTTCTCTCTTTCTTGGTCACGTTTTGAAAAACGTCCTCCATCTGGTCGGGTAAACGCGACGTGTTACGTACAGAGCATCGACTTCGAAGGATGATACAATCAGTCTCCTGATGGTTCCATCCTTCTCCTTTTCATCGTTTCAAACCTTTCTTCTGAATACCATTGATTTTCATTCGCGTCGCGTCTCAAGAGTCATTTTTAGTTGAACGCTTTTCGAGTCAAGAAGGAGAAAGATTAACGTCACGTATTCTTGATTTTAATTATTTCTATTTGTGTCGTTTTATTGGAAACAACTGCTCGTCTTTAGAAAGTTATTAACAGTCTCTTCCTCTCGAGAAGTCCAATAACTTTGAACTTTTGATATGACCTGTGTTCCAGGAATCGTCGTTTTTCATTAAGTTACTCTTGTCGGGTGTATTTAACCTCAGAGTGACAGGGGTTGACGAACGGATCCATCAGAAAGCTGATCGAGCGTTTTCAGCGGTTTCATTCAATCTGAAATAAGCTCCGAGCTCAATGAAACTTCGGTGTAATTAGTTTCGTTGATTTGTTCCTCTAGAGCATTATATTTCTCCTATTTTTTTCCTCCCTCGTAATCAATATCTATACAATTGAAACCATTCGTTTTGTAACAATGTCAAATTCGATATCTAAATGCAACTCGCCAAGTAAATACCTTTCGACCACGAAATGCTGTGTTTTTCACGCAACATCGAACTTCCTTTGGACATTTACACGTTTCCCGGCTGTTTATTGTATTGGAAAGAATGCCGGGTGACGTTCATCTCTGGCAACGTCGAAGGAAGAGAATGCCATCTCACCCTATGAACATTGACAGACATTCTGATACCAAGGGAAAATTCTTTAATACCATAAACGTGATACTCGATCTTTGCAGTTTTTACAGCTCACGTTTCAAAGTAATTTCCAATTGCGCAAATTTTCTCACCTTGTAACAAACAAAAATATTCTCGTCAATTTCTCTTTTCTCGACTCCGTTCAAAATGATTCAGTTCGTAATGACGATTGCATGCAGATCGTTTATCATGATTTTAAGCTGGTATAACGTAGACAGGAATTAGCATAGCGAGTCACTTTAGAGGAATAATGGCTGTCCCACGGAACATTCAGGTGATACTCCGGGCGACTACAGGGAGCTGGGTTACAGCGGAACGGAGGGCGCAGGGGTTGCTGGGAACGGGTCTTTGGCGATCCCACGGGTATCCAGAGATCATGCCGGTTTCTATCTGTGCCAAGCTAGCAACGGTATCGGGCCAGGCCTCAGCAAGCTCATTCGGCTAACAGTTCACGGTAAAATATTCACGCAACAGAGAGTTACCGTTGCTCGGATTCGTGTCAGCCAAGCTGGTCGCGAACTTGGAATTCCAGCCAGGGGCTAGCTACTCTGGGATTCTTCGTTCCGTGGTCGAATTTCCGTTAGCAATCTCGATATGCTTCGACGTAGAGGGAAACGCCCGCCGGAGGCAACGTTGTTACAATATATTTTTCTCCGAGAACGAATAGAATCTGTATAAAGGTACTTTATAAACTTGAAAAATCAATCTTACACAAACTCTGGTTTTAATTGCTCCAGGAAATTATAGAGATCGAGTGTATTTAACTTGTAATTAAATTAAATTGTTTTCGAACCGAACTTGCAAGAGAACAGATTTCTCGCGCAAATCTGTAACGTCAATGTTGATTCATCAAAGTTGAAAAGCTCTGAGGTAATCGCGAAACGGTGGCACGTTTTGTAAAACGATCCCGATAAATTGTTCCCCGACGGGTGTTCCCTCGAACAAGAGGCAAGGTTCAAGAAATTAACGCTCGATTGGTGAAACAGCCGGTCCTCAGGTATCGGTGAAGACGCGACAGGAATCGGTGCGACGAGGGGAAAGCGTAACGTTACGCTGCGAAGCCGAAGGAGACGCACCTCTTGATCTCAGCTGGCGTGCGCGTGACAGCAGAGTCGATCCCAACTACGATGTTAGGTTTGTATCGAAATTAATCAAAACCCCTTCCCGTCTGAACACCGAAGCCCAGTAGGGTTACACAACGATCGACGTCGATCGATGATACGACTGACGCTTCGATCTTCTATCCACTAATCGAGATTACAGGTTAATTACAATGCGTGTAACATGACAGACAGCTGATTAATACCGTGTCATCGTTTCAAGACATTTCAAGGGACAATTCACTCGCATTGTATACCTGGTTTATTTTGAACTACATGATTTTTGTATATAATGACTTCTAATAGAGACAATGTGCAAACTTTGTTATCACTCTAATATACTATATAACTATATGGAAAACCATGCAACAGAACACCATAGAGTTTCCTCGAAACATTTTCCCCGACAGCTCGTTCCCTTCCTGTCACCTTCGTTATGTTATCGTTCGCTCGGTCTCTTGTTACCCGGCAGCTAACTTTCGCTCACGCAAAATTACTCGAGCGACGTTGTACCGAGCTTGTTCGTCGATAATTCCAATCCCCCATCGAGTACCTATTAAATCCTCCGAATTTAATACGGATCTGTCGAACGAGCCGAAGGAAAAATGTTGGAAGTAGAACGGAATCCAGTAGAAACCATCATCCATCACGTTTTCGTACCCAGAACGCGCTACCATCCATCAATCTCTCGGTTTTCTTTAATCAGGTACACGATAGATAACCAGAAGGTATCCGGACGCGTGATCTCCGAGCTGCGGATCATCCAGGCGAACCACATAGACCGTGGGGACTACACGTGCGTGGCAACGAACGCGTACGACCGTGCCAAGGCGATCATTAACTTGCTGGTCCAAGAGCCGCCGAATTTTCCCCGGAATTTGCGCGTAGCCGAGCAAGGCAGCCGATCGTTGCTGTTAGCCTGGTCATCGCCGTCCAGCGAACAGGATCCGGCTCACGCCAACTCGCCCATAACCAACTACATCGTGCAGTACAAGGAGGCGCAGGGTAGGCTACCTCGTTCGCTTTGTTCAACCCCCGTCGGTACACGACCCCCCATTCTCGATATATCTCGGGTGACGCGTTTGATTATCGATCCGTGGAACACGACTGTCCATCAGACGTCACTCTGCTTGTCGCACGGAAGCCTCAGAAAGCTTGACCAGGTTCTCCTTTGTGCGCCCGATTCGTCCCGGATCGTTTTTCATCACCGACACACGCTTGAAATTGATGATCAGCATTTGCTAACTTCCCGACTCGAGACAGAGAGGCGTGTCTTGGAAGCGTGTATTTCGATTGATCGCGCTCTAAATATGCGTGAGCTGTACGACAGCCTTCGTTCGACGATGTTGTACCGATCGTGTCCCGGAATTAATTGCGAAAGTTGTAGGTAGAGAACGGTAGGATCATTCTCACTGGTTACGCATGTTCATTGTGCACTCGTTGACGTTCCTAAGCGCGTTCACACCAGTGGCACCTGTTTTGGTGATTAAAATGTTGGGGAAATAAGTGACGAGTATTTGTTGCTTTCTTAGCGGGTTCGAAGTCGGCTGCCTCCTTTTGCGGGGGTAATTTCTGGTAGTACCACTTAGAATCCGCGATACTCGATCCACCGAACTCCACGACCGACTTTGCCGTGGATTAACTTCTGTTTCAGTAACTTTGTCCTGAAAGTAGGCCTACTGTAAAGCATCCATTTTGATAATGAAGCTAGCTGCAAGATAGCCTTGGTAATATCGGATAGCCCTGTCAGATGTTCAGTCGGTCGCTTCAATCCCTCAAGGGGGAGAACCACCCTGAAGCTTTGAAAATGATATATAGGTTACCCTAAGAACAATTTTTGAAAGGGAATGAAAAGCAGGAAAATTAAACGAAGCTTTATCGAATTATTAACGCGTTAAAATGCACTTCGTGGAGATTTTAGTAATTCAAACCATTAAAATTGCAATCGTTACCAATTTTTAACACCTGCATCGAAGCTGGGAAAGTATATCAGAATTTCCATTAATATTAATAATCGTTGAAATGGCGAACAGAGTGGTCTGTAAATTTAGAATGAAAGTATAAACTAAATAAAAGCAGTATTGAAACCTCCAGGGTGGTTAACTCTCCTGTTATGTATCATAAGCTTTCTCAATTTTCCACGGGAAATTCATCCCCAAATGCGGGAGACATTACGCAAACAATAATATTAGCTATTTCCAGTGAAATGGATACGAGTTTCTCCCGGCATACGTATTTCTTGCAAAAATATTCCGCTACCGCGTTCGCTGCTCGACAAGTTGAAGGTTTAATGGCAGACACTTAGCGATTGCGAGAGGTTGACGCATCGGCGTAAAGTTTATTTTGGTAATGCGATAGGAGGAGCTGGTAGAGAAGCTGCCAGAAGCAGAGACGCTGTTAGGATGTTCTTTTTCGGAGTTACTCTTCGCTAGGTTTCACGCGGCTTTTGGCGCTAGTAAGTACGTGCCTCGCAATGAGATGAAAGCTGATACGTTAAAGGAAACAGATATTCTAGCGTTGCTAAGTTATAAGCGGGTTCCCTAACTTTGGCAACGTTAAACCAGCATTCCCTTTCACGTATCGCAAGCGTATCTTGAATCAGTTCGAGTATTATCGAAGATTTTCGAATGTTAAAGGGTCGGCAATGTCTCGATGTATCAAATAGTATCATCAGGAATAGTGAACTTTCCAAACCCATTTCTCAGATCCCTCGGAGATAACTGAATCTTTATATGGACTAGTGATTTATTGCTTAGAAAAAGAGTGGCCTGAAAGCTTCTTTGGAATTCAAATGGCGACCTCTTCGCGCTCGTAAGGGTGTTATTCGTGTCACCAAGATCTATGTCGGAGTTCCTCCACTTCACCGACCTTCTGTGACCCATTCCTCAGGATTTCTCTATGAAACGCCTTAGACACTATTAATACTTTGTGAAAACTCTCTGGACAAACTTTATTGCTTCCTCATACTACTATACCTTCTTCTCAATTCCTACGTAAAAAGAAAAAAAAGAAAACTCGTCAATTGCAAAATGTTATAAAATTTATGAGACGCTTTTCCGATCGATCGATACGAAAAGGTTCTTATAGATTTTTGGATATTTAGGGCAATATCGCGAAGTGGAAAATCCGAGCTACCGTTCCTCAGAACTTCCAAGAAGGTTGCCTCGATTTGCCTCGTCCCACCTTTCACGTACGCCAACCTAGAAAAGTCATCGCTGACGTTTTCGTGACACGTTGAACGTACCGCGATTATCCGAAGAAACTTTCCAAAAATTCCTATAAATTTCGTCTCGATATTCCCGACATTGTTCGTTCGATAATCAGCTTCATTTATTTACGCGAAGTTTTTTTCTTACTCAACCTGTGTCTTAATTGCTTTCCGTCCCGGACGCAATCGTCGTTTCATTACGTGACCGACGTCGGAAGGAGTTTGATTTGTAATATCTCGACAGTGCCACATTAAGACTCCATTATTGGACTGTCAGGATGGATCTCGAGTTTAATCAATACTCTAGTCTGACTGGCGAGGCAATCGGGAGGGGAACGAAGTTACTGCTCGATATGGCAAACAATATATAATCAATCGGGCCAGCGATCGTACGGTAATCATTGTTCTTCAACGTTTTTATCGAATGGCTGTTTGATTCGTCGTTGATTGAACGTCGCTTGGGCTTCTTTGAGCTTGAAAACAACAGTGCTGGTCCAATTTCTCAATCTACAGACTGTTCGCAAACTTTTCAAGCGACTGAATAATAGAAAACATTAAAAATCTTATCGAGTCACATTTTTATACCTCCACGAAGAAAATTAATTTCCCTCGTCCTTGGAGAGCCGAGGCAGGTTCCTTTATGCCTTGGTATCCGTAAGAGGAGACGGGGCGAAAGTTTTTTAATTTTCGTGAAAGCCTCCTTTCGGCATCGAGCACGTTCAATCGAACATTGTTGTCCGTGGTCGACTCGGAAAGGTCCGATGGAAAAGCAACCTGATTACGTGAACGATATTCGGCGATATTTAATTATGCCCCCATCGAATGACCTGATTCTTCAAGCGGACCAGATACGGAGCGCGCAGCGAGGGTGTTATATCGAGCGGAGAAGGTTCGGTTCAGGTCGGGTCGGTTTCCATAAAAGCGTCGTATAGCAAGGAAGTCGAAGTTTGTCGCAAAGTTGATGCCCGGGCTTCTTCTTCTCCTCCTCTGTCTCTGCTTTATTTTCTCCGTTGGAAAGTTAGCTTTGAAAAGGGGCGTGCGCAGCCGCGACCCCACTTCACCTCGGCATCCGGTCCCTCGTTAACTTCGGATGTCCTCATTTACGCCTAATCGACTCGAATCGCTTGGCCACTGCTAAATTATCGAAATTAACACACCAAGAAACTTAATTCGTTCGTGTGCTGGTGTGAACGCGCGTGTAACACGTTTTCAGAGCAAGCACCGTGTCGGGAATTCGGTTTTCTTTTTCAAATTTTATTTAATGTTTGCAAAGGGTTGGACAGAAGTTGCTGAAAAATTTATTCAAGAAGAGTGTATTTGATTAAACTTCGAGAGTGTACTTGATTAAACTTTCGTTTTCAAACGAAGACCAGTCGCCTGGAGCTACTGTAACTTTTCGCTAAAGTTAACTCACCCTTTGAACTTTGCCGTTCCTTCGAGTGATCGCGTTCCCATCCGGGCTAGAGATTTAGCCAATCGCGTTTTTTTTTTTGCCCGCCGCGAACCGCTCGTTCGTACGTTCGATTTTTCGATTACTTCGAGCCAGATTACCGCCACTCTGTTCATTCGTGAAAGTAGAAAGCTAATCCTTCTGATCGAAATAAGCTGGTTTCGATGACTCGTTCAAACATCGCCATCTGTGGATGAGAACGAAATTGTTTTCCATTAAAAAGACATTTTCTGACACCAGAAATTTTTAATATAAAAAATCGTTATCATAATGCGTATTCTGCCACGAAATAACGAGCATATTTCACCGAACAATCTCCATCGCGTTCCAGAACGATATCGATTATACGATTACTCTTGTCAGCCGTCAAGGAAAGGGGTTGGTTCGTGAACTCCTTTCGGCTAATAAAATGAAACCGTGTCTACGTACGATCGCGTGTAAAACTGGCGGTAACTGATATCGAATCGATGCGAAAAATCACGTGACACCTTGTCACTCGTGAAAAGCCGTGGAGTCGTAAATACGTCGACTATACCATCGACCAAAGATGCACAAAATCCATCTAAGCGTTGTCGTTGCCTTTTGCTGGAAAGACGTGTGGCATGAGCACAACACGCAGAAGATGGTGGCAGGGGACAGCACGGTTGCCCTGGTGTCGCCTCTAAAACCGGCGACCTCCTACCACTTTCGGGTGCTTGCCGCAAATCGCCTTGGAACATCAGCGCCAAGCGACATCCTTCATGTCAGTATCAAACATTTCAGCATGCCTCAATCAAAATGATCATTAATGTCATGTATTCATCAGTTGATCGATTCAAATAAAATCTCATATTCTAACATTTTATTCTTCTGTTGCTCTCGGTCCTGGTTTCGAACAACAACAGGCTCAAACCGACGGTGAAATTCCCAGTGGACCACCGAGACATGTTATCGCCGAAGCCCTAGGACCACAGCAAGTGAAGGTCACCTGGCAACCACCAGATCGATCCCTCTGGAATGGCGAACTCCTCGGATACACCATCAGCTACGCCAATCTCGGGTATCGTTATCCGCTTACGGCTGTTTAGAATAGTTTCCAGCACACTTCGTGATCGTAGAATTCAACGTTGAAGCTCGTCGAGGCTCTCGGATCTTCACCGATTATCGCTGCGATTCTCGACAATGAGCCTCGCCGATCGGCCATCGAACGTTTCCGTTTCTTGGATAATCGTTTTCTTCCCGAACAGATGTTTACCGTTTCGAATTTTCAACTGCGACGATAATTTTAGAATTTCAAGATAGGATAAAAATTACCCTCTAAACTTTCGTTCGTCGATTAAAGTCCAGCCCGTAATTACCCGAAAAGCAATCATTTTTCGAGTTATTTAAATTAGATTAATCGCCAAGTTTTCGTGCAACGCGAGACGAACGAATACTTGGAGGTCTGGTTGGAATTCTCTGGATTCTTGTCTTTAATTCGCGGAAGAATCTCGTCGGGTTCGTTACCGGGGACGCTTGAAATGCACCGGTTCAGCCACCGTGAGCTTCCGGGAAGAATATTTCCTTTTTTCGTCAATGGGAATCGGGAAGTTTCATATCGACGCGATAGCGGTATCGAGAGAAGTTCAAGGAATCAGAAGACCATTTTTCGCTCCAGTTTCCACGGGAAGGCTTTAACTATCGTCGAGTTCCGCGCGTTCCTTCTCGCGCTTTATCTTTCCGCCTCGAGAAACATCGAACGTGGCTTTATTTCAGAGGGAATGATCAATCGGTGAACATCACCAGAGTGGGAATCACCGGGAACGGGGATGGTTCGTACGATTATAGGCTAACCAGCCTCCGGAAGTACACCCAGTACAGCATCGTAGTGAAGGCGTTCAATAATAAAGGAGACGGACCAGGATCTGACCCGGTGATGGTGCAGACGCTCGAAGATGGTGAGTAACGTCTTATAACATTTACTTTTCTTTCTATTTATCAATCTTTAAGCTTCGAATTGATGTACCATAAGTGCTATTTTATGATACTTTCCTCTCATGAAATCGTATCAGGCTTTATACGGTTCGAAACCGTAATTAAAAACCACAGATAGTAGAGGATATCGTGTATCTGGGAATATATGCTGGTAATATAATAATTCTAGGTACGAAAATAAGTGGAAAAACGTGGAATAACATTTGCTCGTGGTGTTTCCTTTTCAAGGGAATCGATGTTGAAACATTGGTGCGGTGGGCGTATGTACGTTTAATTAGAGTTCTATTTAACGAATCGCGTTACAAGGTATTGAGATTTCATATTTATTATTTTCGATGGCTACGAGTACGCGATTCTGCTTGAAAAATTGTTGAAAACGTTATTTATAACAAATAAAATTCATTAATTACTAAGCGCGCGTATCAAACAAATTTTCAGAATATGTTTCATTAAAATTTCATATTTTTTCATTATTCCCTGCTGGAGAATCGTTTCTTTTAAACTTGTACTATCAGTTACATGATATTCTGTGCACGACAATCAAATTCACTTTACGTAATTTCAAACACTGCTAATTTATTTGAGAAGGTTGCATACCTTATTAAATGTATAACTTTCATACAGGTATCAGTATGAAAGATAGTATGTTACGAAGACTTCTTAAAGGAACATTTAGAGTTACTTTATTACAACATAATGTCTTCATTCTCTTCTTTCCCGTGCACCACTCTAATAAATTAAAATGTTTCTGTCATTTTGAGCCCCGCGAAAGCTTCTTACGCAGCACGAAGGGTTCGGTGTAATAGGGGTCAGAGTCGAAAATTCAGGATCCTTTTTTAAATGGACCGTCATACATTTTCTACTTCAACAAGCTGTAATAAAAGATAATTGGAGGCCGGCAGTTTCTGGATTAATATATAGCGCGGCGTTACACGTCCTCCGGCGCTGATGAGACCAGCTACAATGCCGCGAAACGGTGAAATTAATTTCCGTGGCGGCAGTTTACACCGGGAAAACCGTAATAACACGGAAGGATGCGGAAAAATTTGCATATACCGTACGACTCGTAAGGCGAGGCTCATTAACTTACGACTCTCTCTCTCTTTCTCGTTTTTTTTTTTTTTTTTTTTTCACTCGAATGACCTGTTGTTCTAACTTGTTGAGTTCGCCCCGACGAACCATCTCTGCCAGAATAAAAACGCGAAATCCCATTTAAAGCGATTAAGTTCATCGCGCTCGACTCGATGCTTCGTGAAAGATACTTTCTCGCGCGATGTTTTCCTTGCTATTTCAAGAAAGATTTCTACGGATTACTTCGCGCTTCTTCCTCAAAGTGACAGAAACAATTTCTAATATTAATTTAGTATTTTTCAAACGTTGACAATTTCAAAGGTTCGATGTACCTCGCGACGTTTGGCTCAAATATTGTAATACGTGGAATATTTTCATTTCGTAATTCGTAAACGCAGAATATCAGGATTATTTCCGCAAGAAGGTGCTTCCTAACAAACTGGCGATACAATTTTGACGCAGTTCCAAGCGCTCCGCCGCAGAACGTAGCCTGTGCCGCGTTAACCGGCCAGAACATCCAGGTGACCTGGAAACCACCGCCTTCCGACAAAGTTCACGGGGTCGTGCAGGGCTACAAGTTGCTGTACGAGGCAGCCAGCGCCGTTCTGGAACAGCACGAGGGCAGGGAGACGAAAATCAGCCATGCACTAAGCACCGTGCTGCATGGGCTCAGCCCGTACACCAATTACACGGTACAGGTGCTCGCGTACACCAGAGCTGGCGAGGGTGTCACCAGCAGCCCGGTATCCTGCACCACCGAAGAAACTGGTAAACGGACGATGTTGTTGTAGTTTCCGTCTGCGACAGACATAGAAGCGTATGCACACGGAAACAGAGAAGTAAATTTGCTGGCTTTCACGGGGATACGTTCCGATGGGACCGCTGGTCACTCTATATAGTCCGGTGCTTTAATGCTAGCTGTGCTGTTGATGTTTCGATAGGTCAATATGCTCCCGAGATTCTCTTGTAGCTTGTAGTTTTGGCGCATGGATAGGGGCGCTGGGAATCACAGACGTAAATTTTCACCAAGTTTGGCTGTGTACCTTAGTGAAATATTAATAGGCGGTAAGGCCAGGTACGTTATAAGGGGAATAATAAAATTATTTGCATGGAACAACTTCGAAGGATTTAGAGAACGAGCTGTTCTTCTGTAAAGTGCAAGTGAAACATCATTTAAGAAGACTCTTCCATAAAATCGCTTTTGCTTTTTTATTTAACCAATCAGCTGTGGTGACCTCTTTTCAAAACGCGCACCTATGCGTGTCGTGGGAATCAAGCGATTACGGGTATAGTCGGCAAACACAGAGTAAGTGACGCTGTTAAAATATTGGATCAAAAAGACTGCTTTATTTGATAAAATGAACAATTTTTTTACTAATAATATGCTACATACATACGTAATAAACGGAAAACTTAGGAAAAATCAAATATCTATAAAAGTTAAAAATTCAAATTGCTGCTGTCGAGTGGTATTCACCAAAGCAAGGAACTACGCATAGTGGCACTTTGCACGTCGAACACCAATACCGCGGTTCTTTCCTAATCTTTTTTTTATAACAAAGTGCACATGTATAAATTGGTTATATAAACTGATAAGCAGTTCCAGCTAGTGCATACGGAGATGCATGAATCCATCTCAAATTATTTATACTTTTTATTTGTTTGTTTTATTTCGTTTTTACCTCCAAAGATTCTAAACATATTGAAACTTACGAATATATTTTAGTTTTCGATAAAATTACAATTTAAATAGCAAATGGTAACTAAATTTTACTCATGATGGATATAGTCGTCATGACACAAATACTACCGTTTTTCCATTACGGATATTGTAGTCGTCAAACACAGGTGACTGGTTAAAAAGAAAATTATACACCATTTAAAAGTATCAAAGAGCTTTATTTAGTACAGTTTCCATTGCTAGTATCGTGTTCGACTAAATAACAATCGAAAGTAATCCGTAGGTCTTTACACAGTTTCAATATACTGCAGGAATCGAAGAGCTGCTATTAACACCGTATTTGCATTCTCTTCGTCAAAGAGCTTTCGTTGGCTCGTATGCAGAAGCGGGCCACGGAACCGTTTTATACTAAAACTAGAGAAGGCCACTTCCAGCCTGAATTCCCGAGAATCGGCCGTAGCTGTTTAACCAGTAGAACGGGACTAAAAGAGTCAATGACAGAAACTTCAACGCGCCTTTGAAGTAACGATATACCAGCGGGCTCGAAGCTCTCTCGTTTCGTGCTCTACCTCCGGGGAAACTCGACGGTGACGGGGCTGGTTTTCCATTAAATGCAGCTGCACCCAGCTCGTATCCGACGTCGCACGATAGTCGAGTCCGCCGAAATTTCGCGAAACGGGTCGCGGCTAATTGTACCATTATCGCGATATTCATAATAACGCGCCGGGTTCGTTTCGTTTTCGCAACGTAATCAAAATTTCGTGTATCACAAAGAAAACACGCGGTTGTTAATACCGATAATTTGTCAACGCTGCAATCTCGCGGATTATTTGCTTGCTCTTTGAAGAAATAATTCGTAGTGTTGAAAATTTCAACGAAATTCAACCCTCTCGCATAACCATTGCAATATTTCCCCGACAATATTTCCTCTCCTTTTACAGGGTGTTAAAAAATACCCGGAAAACCTCTACACCACTAGATAGATCACGAAAAACCGAAGTGAAAAGTTCTGTAGCATTTTTCGATGGGATCAGTAGTTTAGCCACATTTCTACAAAAATGCTACAGAACTTTTCGCTTCGACTTTTATCCAGCGGTGTAGAGGTCTTCAGGGTATTTTTTATACCCTGTATATTAGAATCCAGCCTCGATTTTCCCAAAATTCGAGAACAATAGAGAACCACTCAGAAAGACGTTACCACAATTGCTCAGAGGCTGGAAGAACAGCTCTCCTCTAATCCTTCGATCGATTATATCGGCGAGGGCATCCTTTCCGGCTGGTGCTGTCATGTTTTTCCTCCAGTTTCCGGGAGGGGACCAGGGTGACGGTGGTTCTTTTTCTCGCAGTTCCGGACGCGCCGGAACGTGTGAAGGCTGTGACCAGCAACGAGGACGCTGTGGTGATATCCTGGCTACCACCACGTCGACCGAACGGCATCCTCACAAAGTACACCGTTTATATCCGCGTGTTGGACCAGGGCCAGGAGGTGAAGATCACTAAAAGCTCGCTGCCTGCGCAGAACCTGCACCACGAAGCGACCGGCCTGAAACTGCGCGAGTCCTACGAGGCCTGGGTTACGGCCTCGACCAAAGTAGGGCAAGGACCTAGCACTCCGGTCATCAAACTTCAACTGAGCAATACCGGTAGGTTGCATCGCGTTTACGAAACTTTTGTCCACCGGAAAACCCTCCTGTCCCTTACTTTTTTCCCCAATGGGATCGATAGAAGTTCAACCTTCGTCGCTCGATTCGTGCGCGATTGGTACCAAGCGTAAAAAGAAAAATTGATCTAACAAACCGTGCGAAAGTTTGATGAAAAATTTGTGAAATTTGTACTTGGAGAAAAAGAACGATCACTATTTTAAGACTTTCCTTTGAATATTCTTTTTGGTATTCGTTAGGTATCCTCTATCTTCGTTATCAGTCAAAGCGATCAGATTTATTGATCAAAGCGAACGTATGTTCATATTGGATAGGATAAAGTGATTGGACTTTAAAGCAATAGTGCAGACCAATAGTATTACCAAAAATCTAAATCTAAGAACTTCTCTGAACCATACCACCCTTTCTACCCCTATGCCATTCCACGTATCAACTTTTCCTCTCTACGCTGTACTTCAATTTTTTGGCATAGTAAGTTTGCACGAAAAATGAGTTTCCAACGAATGGAACACTCGGTGCATCATTCGGTATGCATGGTATATTTAATCGATCCGTCTTTTACGATTCTTCGCGTTCGAGCTCGAGAAAGTTCGAACGTCAAGAAGTTGTTCGAAGCGACGTCCTCGTAAGATTGTACTAATACAGCAACCAGCTTCGAATTATGCATTTTAATCGTCGGTTCCGTTTGCGCTTGCATTTCCATTCGCGAGTATCGCTGGCAATTAAAATTATTCCATGGAATCGGCACCGAGGAATTGCCTGTTAAAAATTGCTCGAGGAGTCGGGCGGGAAAAAGAGAGCGAGAGGAACCGACGAGGGAACTTTCGAAACAGAACTCAAACACGGATCATAGTTGCTGGAAGTTTAACAAAGAGCTAATATAACCGAGACTTTTAATTAGTTCGAGCAGCCATAATATCGTTCGGTGTGCCGCTCGTGGTGCCGTGGAGGGTGGACGTCAATATGGCTTGTCTCGCCGTTGGTAATCCACGTCCAACGGTGGAATGGCGTCGAGGGGACGTGAAACTGCAACAAAAGTAAGTGCCGACGAGAGAGGGAAAAAAGAAGAAGAAAAAGAAGAAATAGTTTGCTCTGTTGATGGTTCCTGATTGTGGATTTTTCACGACAGATCCGACATCGGGCCGGACAATTCGCTGACGCTGAGGAACGTGCAGAGGACTCACGAGGGCAACTATTCCTGCCACGTGAAGAATCCTCTTGGCTCGGACGAAATCGTGTACACGCTGCAAGTACAAGGTACCCGTCAAAATAAGAAAGTAGAAACGCTTTCACGATATTTTCGCAAGAATATAAAAAATTGTTATACCTCGATTTATCATCAGTGTGACAGCAAACTTTTGCGAAAGCTGTTCCGTTAGATTTCCAAGATCGCTTCTTTTTTTCCCTTTTGTAGTTTCCTTTGTCGTTCAATACGAGACACCTCTTTCGACAGACGAGTACCGTGGTCGCGTTTCACGGCCGCAAAAGGTTCACTGCGCGTAACATTAGACCGGGAAAGACGACGACGAAGGGTCGGTGTGTGTGTCGCGAAACTAATCAGGTCAACGACCTACATTTTTCTGCCGCAGCATGAAAAAAAAAAAAGCCTCGGTATCGACGCGGTCCGTTATCGTGGAAACTTTCGTCGAGTCGTGCATATTATCGCGAGAATGGCAACGGAATGGGTCAGCTCGACGGAAAAAGCTTGTCACCCGTGGGGTTCGTTAAAAGTTCCGCTCAACTATTTTCCGTCCCGATGCCCGTCCCGTTATCCTCTACCTCGTGGAATAATTCGAACGTACGTAAAGGAACGTGGCTCTGAAATACATTTACCGGGTATATTTCGTTACCGGAACGTCACGAGCGCACAGACCACGATACAATTTCAGTGTCGTCTAAATGCATAAGGTCAGATGTGAATCGAAAAATGAATTTCAATATTTATCTAGACTCGGTACAGTCGGAAGAAACGATACGGTCTTGTGAAAATACATAAAATTATAATTTCTAAAGCAGGGGTGGCCAACACGAGGGCCGCGGGCTGCATGTTCAAATGAACATAAATGTTAACTTTATTGTACATATCACCAAAAGAATATTACATCATAAGCGACGATGTGATCGAAGCTGTAGGACGCTTGCTTGTTTACTTTAATTAACAAACAAAAATTAGGTGCGTGGCACGGCAGGAAATATTATTTCTGAAATTTGACCCGCCTGCTGAAAAGGTTGGCCTTGCTCTAAACTTTCTTCGTATTAACAACATTTCACGTGCGATTTATTAGGTTTCATTAGCCTCGAGAGAGACACCCAGAGACCTCTTCTCCTGTTCTGCGTTCACGCGATTAATCAATCCGGCAAACGTTTCGGAGCGATCAGCTCGGCCATTCTAATTGATAAACTTTGCGTAGTACCGCCGACGCCACCGACTTTGCTGACCACAGGCACCACAACCGATGCTGTTCAGCTGCAGTGGAAACAGGGCGACAATGGAGGCGCGCCCATAAAGGGATTCTTACTCGCTTATCGGCGAGAATTCTCCGAATGGGAGGAGGTGATGCTCGATCGGAAAGCGAGCACTCATCTCCTGGAGGGTTTGCAATGCGGCACAAGGTATCAGTTCACCCTGGCGGCGTTTAATAGAATCGGTAGCGGAAGTGCGAGCAAAATCGAGACCGCGAAGACGAACGGGACGAAACCTATCCCTCCTACGAAGCATCAGTTGATCAAAGTAAACCAAACATTCGTCACGTTGGAATTGACATCCTGGCAAGATGGTGGCTGTCCATTACTGTACTTCGTCGTTGAGTATAGAAGACTTCCCGGGGATTGGTTGTTGGGTAAGATCATTTATTTATTTTTTTTAATTTTTGATAAAGGATGTAACTCCAGATTGCACCTGTGTATTATTGGATGCCAAGGAAGAACACGTTTCGAGTAGAAAGAACGTTTATTCGTAGACACGATTAGAGAACAGACTGAGGTCAAAAAGCTCGTATTCGAGGTTTTAGCCCTTATTTAAATCGTACTGGTTAAAGGGGTGGGGGTGCCGAGTGACGTCTCCGTGAATCCTGCGACGATGAATAAGGCCGTGACTTAAGATTTGAAAATCTAAAGTCAACTGACTTTTGCACAGACTTACTATCGCTATGACCCGTATTAGAGTTTTTCGTTTAGAAAGTAGTATGATTCACGGAAACGCGTGTCATCCGACAGTATATCGCGACAAAGGAATTCAGTGGCAAGTGAATTCTTTCACAGTGTCGAACAACGTGCAACCGCAATCAAGGTTCCCAATCGTGGACCTAGAAGCTGGTACCAAATACGAGCTCCGTGTGACGGCTTACAATAACGCCGGTTCAACGCAAGCTGAGTACCTGTTCAGCACTCTGTCGCCGAACGGTAGTAATCGGATGCCCGACGAACATCCGCCGGAAATCGAGGAAAGCTCGCTGTTCTTCGACGCTCACGTGCTGGCTCCTAGCGTGATCTCGTTGCTCGCTGTGTTCCTGGCGGTGGCTGGTGTCTGCTTTTGCCTGAAAACTCGTAAGTTTTAATATAAATGTAAATAATATAATTCATTTTTCATTTCGTGCGTTATCCATGAATCAACATATCGATGGACATATATTTCCAGCACACCGAGTTTCACATATCCCTGTGTAATTAGATGTAGAACATAATCAACGGCAGAATATGTTCTGCATTGACGTTTAACACGCGTGTTTTGAAGCGTGACAATTGAAAGAATTCGTTGATCGTACTTGGTCGATGATGATCGAAAATCCGAATCCATTTCTCTGCATTTCTCGTCAGCCCTGTATGTGTATTTAAATAACCGGGCATATAATTAAAATCAGAGATTCTACAGGTATTTTGTCGGGTTCAAACGACACGCGCGCAAACGCGTTTCACGTGTCGATGTCAAACAAAGGAACATTCAATCGATGTGCAATTAACGATCTCAGTTACGCAAACCTACATGATTCCCGTGTGTGGAAAACAAAAAGCATCGTGACAGAATATCGTAACGTTCGATCTCTATGAAGCGTTAAATTCGATATTCGTGAAACTCGTTGCCTCCCCTGTCGTACATGAGATTCATTCCGATACACGGTTTCGTTTTACTCGCTTCGTGATTAACACTCACCCTGTTAACGTTGTAACAACGAAGCCCTTCTAACGCGATACGTTTCGAATTTTATGTTTTAACGCCCAAATGAAACTCCTTGTAAATCCTCGTGAAGTTAGCTGTAATGTTATCGAATACTCGTCATTCTAGACACTTAAGCCCTAAATTTGGAACGCCAGTAACCATGAATCGCTCCGTCGAGCTTGACAATGGTAAATCGTTGAAAGTTCGTCGATTAGAAGATCGATCTCGGAGACTGGAGTCGCGTTCACAGACGATCAGCCACGTACGAAACAGCAGCAGTATAGAGAGGGTCGATCGAACAGGAGGAATCGGCATTCGAAGCGTGTGGATAGGATTTCAACGGTAGCGGCAATTTGCATTAAGCCAGAAGGGCGTGCTGGCGCCGCACTCGTGCCACTCGTCGTTATTGAGTAGCTAAACGTCGCAGGATTGTACTCCAATTACTATCGCCATCGTGAGAGTAGGTTGAAGAGGAAGCGAGATATCGCCTGTTAACGGGCGAAAATTGATTCCTGATTTTCCTCTCCGATTCGCGTACGCCCCTTCTATTCCCGCCTCGTCTTCCTTTCCCGTTCCAGGCTGCGTGCGTTTTTATTCCAGCGATCGCTTACCGCTGTAAGGTAAACATTCCAACTCTCGATTGTACCCGTTCGTAGCGAATCGATTAATTAAAAAGGTCGAGGTTTCGGCGTTGGTGCAATTATACTTCCCATTGTTGACGTTCACACGGGTCGAGCGTGTTCTTGTTTGACGTACCGGCGGCTAGCAAATATGTATTTATGGCCACCGCGAACAGCTATTCGGAAAGCTGTCGCAGCTTTCTCGGCACGAGCGTTAAATCAAGATAACCAGGAAAACTCATTCTTCTTTCAAGCAATAAATCGATGTCCAGTTTCCTTGGTCCTGAAGTTTAATCGATGGAACAGATCCTTTGTTCGTTAAAAGTACGCTCGAAGCTGGTACCCATTGACCCAAACCGCAATCTATCGCTGTGACGAGTCTTGAGAACGTCCTGAATTGTCTCTTGATTGAGCGCTACGGTTTTGTTAACTTCATTCATTGTTAAACGCCTAATGATTCCAGACCCGGAACGATCTGGTCGAGCGAACGATCCGAATTCGCAAACGCAGGCCGCCCTGGAGAACAAACACAACATGGAGCAAAGGGAACAATACTACGCGACCGTGAGGAAACCCGGCCAACAGTCACCCTGTCGCGAGGTGAGCGCGCTGGAAAGAATTCCCGAATATTCCGAAGACATTTATCCGTACGCCACCTTCAATCTGCCCGAGCAGGAAAACCTGTCGGCGAACCCGATGCGACAGGCATTCTACTACGAACGCAGCGAAACGATGCTGCAAGGAAATCAGGTACGATTAAAATAGCGACCAGTGTACGATAGTCTTACACGGGGATCGGTCAATTATAAATGAGACAATTTGTAGAGAATTTTTATTCGATCGATAAATTTATTAACTAACCTTATGTTTATTTTATTTATTTATTTATTTATTTACACTACTAATATTATATTACTATATTATATGTTAATATTAATAACGTTAACAGAATATTACGTAATTCCATGAAGTCTCATTTATGTTTGATCTACTCTCGTATATAGTTTTCGTGGTTGAAAACGCAAGGGTTGGGGGTGTTCAACGGGATGGCGACTCTTTGAACGATATCATTCCCGAGTTACTTATACGATGTAATTTAATCGATCGAAACGAACGTCTTTCACGCATTGGTCAGAATAAATGTATCTCTATCGAGAATCTGAACGTGGGAAGATCAAGCGGATGATATATCGCTTGTATACACGTAGATTCGTTGGGAAGATCAAAGCTCGGATATGTTCGATATCTCAGGTAGATGCATCATACTGGAGTTTGATCTTACTCGAGACTCCCCTTGCAAGTGAATGTCTTTTCCTCTGTGGCAGGAAAACTTGTTACGAGCTGAACGAACTTTGACGGGAAATCAGTTTTCGATCGCGTATACTGACTTCCGAATACTTCGAAATTAAACGATCGACCTAGACATAAAACAGCTTTATTTAAAAGATGCGCTAGATAAAATTCATTTTCTTTTTATATTAATTTCCTTCGAATATTCGCAATATCTTTCTTCGTTTGATCGTTTAATTTGAAAACAGAGGATAGATAGTAACGATGCAACATCGAGAATTGCTCGAATCGATATCTAATAACAGTCTAATGGCTCGCCATTATCGTGAACATCTTCCACGCTAATTTAGACACGTTGCAGTGCGACATGGACCAATACACGAAGGTCCGTGGGCGAGCACGTCGCAAGTCAAAGTCCTTCAAATCGGAATCCGAAGAGTACGACACCTTGGGTTCAGACAGCGACACGGAGGTCGGTACCAGTAGTCGCACCGAGTCCTCGAATCATCTGGACGACTCCGGGCCAGCGTCCATAATGACCCGATCGCCAGGGCCAAACTCGATCGGCCAGAGGGAGCAACGACTAGCCCTTGTCCCGAGGCCGGTTCATCATAGTAAGTTAGTATTCGATTTTCTGTGTCGACGCCGCCAACAGCTTTAAACAGCATCCAGTCGCCACTAACGACTCACCTTTCTCGCATCAACGTCTCGCGTGCACCTTGCAGATGTGCTGTACCACACGCACGAATCAAGTACATCAACCGAGCCGTCACCAATTTCTGAGAGGAAGACCTTCCCGAGGCTCGAGAAGCAAAGGTACGGTTACAATAAAACGTCTGAAGCGTTCGATGATCGATTGCTTTTACAATTCAACCAACTTTCCTCCACTTTGATGCGGCCAACAGCTTATTTTCAAGACAATTCAACAGGGAATGAAGTTCCTTTATGCTCTTTAGAATCTCGCAAACATCTTGGAAATAAGCTTCAGCTTCGTGCCCTATTTTTCCTATTAACTTTGTACCAAGAACGGAGAACCTTTGTGTGTTCTTATAACGAGAAATGAAAATGATAAGCAACGTTGCATTTTAAAAGGGAATCATAGATTCACCATCCCAACCCTATATATATATATATTCATTCGAAATTTTTCAAAGTAGAGACAGCAAGAAAATTGAAATCGATACCTGGATGAGATACTAAATGTCTTATACTAAACATGTCTTATACTTTACAGGAATCAAGGAGCAACGTCCGACATTGGGATGGACGGTCGCGTGCCGGGGATCCTGCGTCCCGTGATGAAGCTGTCCGAATCCGGGATACATTCGTATTCGAGGGGAGCATCGCCAAACAGGCCGTCGAGGCCTGGTTCCTGCGACAGGCTGACAAAACAGCCGAGCCCGAGAAAATCCGTGGAGTCGTTGTGCCTGCTGGAGGAACCCGGATCGTCCAGGATGGCAAGGAGAGAGGAGGACTGGGGCAGCGAGCTGTCTACGTTGGAGCTGAAACCACCGACAGGTTTCACGGATGCGCACGAGACCAGCGAGGCCGAATGCGACATCGACATGAAGCTGAAACTCCACAGGAAGAGGACGGGTTTTCCTTCTAACTCGCTCTCGAAATCACCTAAAGACTTCACTATCACTGTCTAAGTGTCTAATCAAATTATTCGCAAATTGCTGCCAACACGAAAAAAGGTATATAATGAATATACGCATAAAACGATGCCAAGCATGATGAGTGTTAATTAAAAAAAAAAAAAAAAACTACGATGAAAATTTCCTCGCCGTTGAGATCGTCGGGATCCCCACAACGCTTCTCTGTGGATGGATGACTGTCTTTCCGTGTAACTATCTTGTCGACGATCCATTTACAATAAAGAGGTATTTTTGTAAGAAAAATTAGGAAAACAATTGACTGTGTCCGATTGATTTTTCAGCAATTTCCCTCGCCCTTGAATTTACTTCCATCGTTTTATTTTTTGCTCTTCTTTTTTACAATGAATTTTGAAGAGATTGACGGTGAGATTGATTTGTCAGATTTTTTATTTAGAGACGTCAATCAGCTTAATTGCCAGTGGTTATCAGTTATTTTTAAAAATTAGTCAAAATCAGTCAAAAAGTTATTAAAATAATTATTTCACGAATATATATTTTAAAAAGACCGCAATAAATCAAATATACTTCAAATTCGATCCTGGTACCATCTATACAAAAATGACTGAAACTACTCGATAATTTACCGATCGATTTTTCCGAAACAAGAGGACACTGGCACTAACTTTCATATAAAAAACACTAATTTAATGGGTGAACCTTTCCTATATTATATAGTGACTCACCCCGCATCCGATGTAATAGTTTATAGAAAGACTATGGGTCGCACATTTTAGCTTCGTGGTCCTTGACACCTCGGATGCCATAATGTCGGTATACAAAGAGTGTCACTGGTGCTTCGGGGTCCCTGACACCTCGGATGCCATAATGTCGATATGCAAGGAGCATCACCGTTGCAATGGGTCCCTACTACCCCAAGCCATCAGCCACTGCGCCATCTATATAAAAGCGACGCAAACTATTCCTTAATTTACCGACTGCCGAGGGGTCGATTACCGTCTGTCGGAAGTTTAGTCAATAAGTCGGTAATTTATTGAATAGTTTCTACCGCTTTTGTATAGATGGCGAAGTGGTCGAACTTTAAAAGACACGGATAATGCAGCGAGGTGACATTATCGGCAAAAATGGGCCTATCTAGGAATAATTTATGAACTTTTATGATTGATCTACATACTTGTAGCGACTTTCTAACATAGGTTTTATAAGAATCCAGTCACTGATTAATTAATTATGAACCCTTATAGGGGCGGTGGCTTGAACCTACAAGTATGATTGTTCTGCAGTTTCACTAAAAAAAAGAATAATAATAGCAACAAAAAATAATGATAATACATCTCATGACACATGGGTTGAAAATTGCTATCGTAGTCGATAGAACGGCGCGTGAAAAAGAAATTCACCCGTCGGAGTTTATCGCCTTTTCCAGGCTCGAACGTCCCATTCTCCACGATACCACAGTATAGGAAAGAAAAATCGTAGAACACAAATTTCTTTTACTAGGCTTGTACATCATCCCTTGAATGCTCGTTTTGTTCTATTCGACCCAAAGAATGGCGCTCTGGTCTCCATTTGGACGTACGATTCGCAAAAATGTTTATATTACGAATAAATTAATGCAAGTGAGTCCGATCCGCCATTTTCTTGACTGTTGACAGACATAAATTTCAATATTTTATAACTTTTCGACGATTTGGATAATATAAGGACCAGAGCGCCATTCTTTAGGGCCTCCTGAACACGTCCCTCAAGTGTTTTTGCATTCTGTTTAGTAATGACGACGTAATTTGGGTTCTCGTTCCTAGGGATTTTTCTAGGGACTGTCGGTGAAGTTTTCGATGCTCGCATCGCTCTAGGAATTTTACGTTTCTCGTATTAAAAAAAATGTTTAAAGGGAGGCGGCGACGACGATAGATGGCGGTAAGAGCGGGATTGTCGGTGACGGTTGCACTTGGTAAGTTGGCTGATACGAATTGTCAGTATGTGTACGACGATAAGGTCATTCGGTTTGTTACCGCGGAACTCAGAGAAGCGGTTGGACTTGAAGAGAGTGTACACGGATCTCGTGAGTACTTCTCTCGGGACAGTTGTAAGGAAAAACGGACTAACTGGTGTGGAAATCGTATCGTCAGCGTTTACGTGCAATACCGTAACGTGTCAAGAGGATGTGCGGTAGTGAAACTGGTATTCCCAGAGAGATTCGTTGAGAGGAACGCGGCAGATTATAACCCGTTACTTTTCCTGTCAAAAAGAGTCACGCGAAAGTTTTAGTGGATTCTTTTTCGACGTTCACGATTCTGTGTGCTCGATTACTCGCGATTTCCCATAGAGCGACTACTTGTAGACGCAAACATGTGAAACATTTTGAAAATTCGAAAACATCGTGGGGGGATAGTTGTGCCGTCCCTCGTGCCTGCGAGACTATTAACGAAGGCCACGTGGACCACGTCGGGAGCTTGAAAAAATGTGGGTATACTATGCTTATTTTATCTTTTCATTATTTCAACGGTTCTCTTTTCAAATCTGATCGAACGGCATTCACGCTGCTCTATTAGTAAACGAGCGTAAGTCGAAAGTAAGTTGCGATCGTAGGATAAGAAGAGCGTGTTTAGAAAGCAAACGATGGTACTTTTTGAAATATCGTTCTCCGGATCGTTTGTCAAACACGAGATCTGTTTACCGTGATTAAATGCCGCCAAATTCAGAACGATCTACGCTAGTGAGCGCGGTTTCTCGGATACATCTCGAACTAAAAAATTCTTCAATGTGTTTCGAACGACGGGAAATTCCTCGGGACGAATGCTCTGACGTAACTTCTACTTAATGCTTTCTATTTGAACCGCGTACATTTTTCTATCCTACATTTCTACTTCCGAAACAACTTACGTTTTGATTTCGTTGTCGCCTTTCCTCTTTCCCGCCTATACACGTAACAGCATTAGTTTTCTCATTTATTACGAGAAACTTTCATCGAAATGCGGAAGCTCGAAGTTGAAGCGAAACAGTAATGAGAGAGTCTGTGCCGTATGTATAAAGCGCTCGTGATAGAGGATAATCTGAATTCATGGAAGGGAAATATTATACGGCAAGGAAAACGTAGCTAGTTCGTTAACACTCTAACCTACTTGTGGTAGAAGCACGAGGCTCGTAGATTAGCGTCAGCAGGCTTTTTAATAAGGACGATAAATTTGACGAAAGGAAAGGATATAAGTTATGCAGAGAGTCGTCGGCTGATCGAGTAGAAAGTGCAATGCTCGTGTAACGATTGCTATTTCGAATGAAGCGATATACGTATACGAGATCGGCATTTGAAACGGACTCGAACCACGTTCCTCGGTTCTTTCGGTACGCTCGAACGGGTCGAAGGTTACCATTGAGGATCGGTTGCGGTTATTTTCAAAGCCACTCCGACCCTCTGAGTGTCCGGCTCCGAAACCGGTTACGTTGGCTGCGCTCCCCGAGCATCGTAGACCTCTCCTAGAACAGCAGGAGGGAAAAAAGTTATAAGTTCCCTAAGCGAGGTCTCCTCTCTTCGTTACAGAATACCTATACGTGTACACTTCTCGTAAAACGAGTTCAACGAAAGAAACAAGCAATGAACGCGCGTTCTCATAAGAGGACACGCGAGTGCTGTGCTAATAACCATCCTTGTCAAGCTAAATTAGGCCAAACTGGATTAAACGATTCAACTCGACGTCGAGTCTACTGTTGAGACGCTTTTCGAGACTCTCCTTGAGAAAAGAGCAACGAGGAAAAAGCGAGACACTGGTGGAAACGACGAGAGGATCGATAAGGAAAAAAAATAAATAAAGAAATAAATATGGGTCGAGTCAATCATCCTCGAACGGTTAGGGACGAGACTGTCAACGTTCACCATTAATCCTATTTACCTTAGGACGATGATAGCCATTAACGTAGAGGAATTACGTCAGCGCAAAATCGGGCGAGACCGAGGCAAGTGGTTCCAAGTGGCGCAAAATATCGATTACGAGCAAAAAAAAAACAAAAAAAAACACATCGAATCATTCATGCTCTCGAGACCCTGTTGAAGCGTTAAATAATTTCAACATTGATTCGTTGCTTCGACGAACGTATTGCATGTTTCTATTGCATTTGAGGTCACTGTTTCAGGGTCATCAATTCTCGTTCGAATCTGATCGAAATCGTAGCCTGACTAGCCTTCTTCTACTCGTTGTAACATGCAAAATGTTTGTTCTTTTTCTATCGTTTCATTTTTTGTATGAAAACTAGCGGCGACGCACCAGGTGCGTCATAGGTTGAGACCAGGGAAGACCTTAACGACGCACCGTGTGCGTCGTTGATCAGATACGCGTTAAGTGACCGCTTGATTCGAGTCGAGATCGATATTAGCCATCAAACCGAGGTAAATCCTGTGTTCTAATGTAAACGGACAATATCAAGGGTAGAAAAGCCGAAGAATGGAATTGGGTCATGCGAGTATCGACGCCTTCTAAACGGGAGGGTTGGCTCGAGTTCTACATGCTGGAATCGGTAACGAGCTGTTATCATTTGCAATTATTGCGTACAAGGTAACACTTCCAAATTGCTGCTTCTATCCGTTGATAGCGCTTCAGAGTTGTATCGACGATCTTTCTTTGGTATACGCTTCGGAAAAAGAAATTTCCCCGTTCGAGAATGTAAAAGCGATCCGCGTGTAATAAACGCTGTAAATAATGTATCAGCGATAAACAACATATACATACGTGGAGCAAGGTAAAACATCAATAATGAGTTTGTTCTCTATCGCTCGGCAATAATTAGTTTCGAACCACAATTTACCACCCTTCGAGTGGAAGGCTGGTTATCATGTGCGATAGAATTCGAGCTATTTTGTATCTTGATTCATTGAAAAGCAACTTTGCGTCCAAATAAATAACTCAAACTTACCCCTCTTCCGATCGCGGTTCGACGGGCAAGTTTATTTTTATTCCCTCTTGGTGCTCTTCTGTTTTCCTTCTATTATATGTGAAACGTTCGACTTCGCAAATAGCTTAAGTTTGTTACAATCTTTCTTATATCGGTTGCAGTTGCTGATCTGCTCTATTTCTGAACCATACTGTATCTCATTGCAGTTACTTATCCGTAACCACTCCGTGGGTTTGACAGATTTACAAGAATTTTGAATTCGGTGTTAGCAAATTGAAATACGCGACGACGTTGGAACCCGAGCGAAGCATTTTATCGCGCGAAGCATACGCAACGAGGGACCGATAACAGGGATATTTCAGTAGGCTAGCTGGGTGTATCTGGTGTAACTGTGCTCGTTTCGGTCGTTCCGTGCGGGTATTGTGTCACGGAAAAGTGGCACGAACCCTGTAACCCGGCGGCTTTCGTGTAAAATTTACAAAGGAAATATCGATCGACCCAAAGGTGAACCATTGACCTCGCGTTCCATCGAAAAATTCTTCGAATATTTCGATAAAGAAATATCTTCTGTTTCCGTTCTTCTTATGCCGAAGAATACAGAGTGTTTCGAAAAGATTGTACCCGATCAGCTGATTGCATAGACATCTAAGTCTCGTGTAGGGCGCTTGAAACTTTTCGATTTCTTTTTACACGGAGAATCAACAGCTCGAGCCTTTCTTCCGTCGCACCTAGATGTAAGTCGTGGTAACCAAAACCTTGTGAAAGTTGATCTCATCAGCGATGCTATTGGATTACTCGTTGTAAGGTGATTAGAGTTTCGCAACATTTTGTAAACTCTTCCGAAGCATCGCCGGCGACTCTAATCCATTCGCGTTTCTGCGGTGTTTGCTTACCCTCGAAAAGAGAAAAAAAAAGAAAAAACAACTCTTCTCTCTTTCTCCAACCCCCTTTGTACCCTCGTATCCCTCTCGCTCTTTCACTCAGCAATCTTATTAATAGCATATCTGTGCCGGGCAAGTGCAAGTGCACCCACGATCGCGACAGCAACCGTACTCGAAATGCATTACGTTACTTCCTGCATATCGTCCGGTGGGTCCCAACGCCGGGGTTGTTTTCCCTCGTCCGATGGTACATCCTATAAATAGATCGATCGATTTTTCGCAGGATTTCCACGATTCATGGAACAACGAAGATCATCCGACACTTATACATATTCCTTCGATTATTTATACTCGTTGGTCCATCATTCGTGCGTTTCACCGGCGATCGTTGTTTCGCAGAAATACAGAAACACACACTCGATGTTTCGATTCTCTGCCATGTGGCTTTTGTTCGTTGCTATTTATCTCGTTTGCATCCTGTGCCGTTGAACCATTTCCTCGATTCGGTTTTAACGCCAAGGTTTTCCAGTGGTTTTATTTTGTTGTAAAAGAAATCGTAACGTAACTGGCGACGCAGCGTATGCGTCTTACGGAGTTGACTCAGTGTTTTTCATCGATCGCAAGTAACCAACGCAACACGTGAATCTTTGTCCCCAGATGTGCCAACATGTCCGAAGCCGGCGCGCAAGAAGCTGCGAGCGAGATCGAGAGACAGGCGTCGGTTTACGTGTTCCCAGGATCGGGATTGAATCAGCAGCATTATCCCGGATCAGCGGTCATGTCGTTGCAGCCAGCGATCGGCTCAATTCCCGATACCTCGATACCCAACACGATCTCGTCGACCGGAGGATTCGGCAAAGTAGACGCCGAGGAGGACGAGGCGATTCGAAACAGAAGAAGACCATTGCCGAGGACTCACGCCAGATCGGCCAGTCATGGAGGAGTATTGGCGGATTGCCTGACGAGCACGGGATACCAGGCGCAGACGGGATCGTATCTCGGTCCTTTGTCCGCGATCGGAGCTGCCAGACCATCGGCACTGAAGAAACCCGGTCACCAAAGGGCGTTCAGTCAAGGTCAGGTGATCGAGGTACAGGGTCACTCGGTCACAGGACACAGCCGGGTCGGATCCAGGACGGACTTTATCCTTCCACCCGGACACAGGGAGGAACCGAGACCGCCCACCGCTGGGAGGGTGCCCTCCTTTCGAGGACACTCGCGACAGGCGTCCAGGTATGTTCACCAGTAATAATTGATACATAGTGAGGTCGATTCGCGAAAATATTCATGAAACAATCACGTGATTCCTCATTGTCAAAACGGTTTCTCCCGCTCTCACTGGTTCGCGATACTATTGATATACGAGCACAAATTTTATATTATCTTATATCAACAGCACGATCAATGTTCATGATCAAATAAAATGCTGAGAGCCCAATAGTTAATTCTTCGAACTCTCTGGACCAAAGGCATTCGTAACTGAATACGTAAACGTAAAGTGTTGAAATATAGATAAGGGCTAATGAGAGCCCGCCTAGCATGAGGATTTTTGGCTGTTGCCAGTCAGTCGTTTTTAGAAAAGCCAAGGGAGAACATCCTTTTGTTTTTTTTTTCATTTCACCTTTGTCCTGCTTCCCAATACCAATAGATACTTTTAAATTGAAGATGTTGCAGAAGTTCAGCTATCGGTGATATTAATTAATGAGAAATGAGAATAGACTGGAGCAGAGGATTAAAATTTGAAGAGTTACTCGCAACTACGCGTCCAGCAGTTCATAACTATGACATTCGTTCGATCGATGTTGCTCTTCTACGTGTAGTCTCTATTAACATCCGCGCGGTTTTGCAATCGAATTGGTAATAGGGCGTGTGCGAGATCAATTGCTCATAAATTATTCCACCTCTACGTCGTTTAAAAAAAATTCACCTTGTCGCCGCTAACATGGATGTGTTTATTGTTCCCAGATCAGAGTCGATATACACGATAAGACGTAGCGCAGAACCTCCGTGGTGGAGGAGACTCTGGGCCCGATGCTTCGGCCCGTTACCCGATGAACCTCGCTTAAGGACAATAGTACCAAATCACTTAGTACCGCCGAAGACACCTTCGAGTCAGCATCCTAATGGAAAGAGAGTGAACAATAGGTAATTCGAGCCTAAGGGTGTCGTTAACTTCCGGGGTGCCCTGTGTAAACTTTGGGCGACTAAGCAAACAAGTAGGGCTCGCGATGATAACGATCATATTCTTATGTTTCCAGAGTGCGCACAACAAAATACACTATGCTGAGCTTCCTACCTCGCAACATTATCGAACAATTTCACCGCGTGGCCAATATATATTTCGTGTTTATCGTGTTGCTTAATTGGGTGCCAGCAATCAACGCGTTCGGCAAAGAAGTCGCCATGATACCTGTAATCTTCGTCCTAGGCGTGACAGCGCTGAAAGATTACTTTGAGGATCGGCGAAGACTTGCCAGCGACCGGCGTGTCAATAATTCCACATGTCGGGTCTACGTGGGGTGAGTCAAAAATTCAATCGTCCATGAATTTCCAAAGGCTTCGACTTAGTCCGATGTATCGGATACATGCATTCGGAGGAGGTGAATTGCATAGCTTCGAAGAAGAGATAAATCACTACCATGGTAAACACAGGCGAACCTGTTTCCGCGCTGTTCATTAATCGAGTCCCGTTTGCTAATTGCAAAAACCTGTGAAATCGAGTGGAACGAAGATAAAGTGCTGTTCGATTTAACTTATTCAAGGTTTAAGCAAGAAGGAACGGTGATTCGCGACAGCATGCTCATTTTAAATGCTTTTCAGAATTGTTATTCGATACAAAGTAAACGTAACTGTTTGGCAGCTCGCAGACTCGATAAGAGATTAAAATGAAGATTGTCGGAGCGTCTGTCTCGGTACACCTTTTTGGGAGCCAGCGATTGCTGATAACTTAGCCGTACATGCTCGAAAGACGTTCGAATCGCTGAAAAATTCTTCCAATCATAAAACTAACAAGAATACTTCCTTCGATTCCTTCGGGGTCATGGCTGAAGCGTTTCGTTTCTTTCCTCGTTTGGTCATCCTTACTGCGTAAATGCTGTTTTATTGCTCTGTACAGCCTTGTTTACCCACCTTTCTCAGCCACGCAGTGAAAAAGAGTTTCAAGGTATTCCGCTGCTTGTAAAGATGACTATCAACAAATTTTAAGAGCACCTTTTTATCTTCCGATAATCTACCTTTAATTAATTAATACAAAGTTTCGTCGTGTTTGAAAAGGAAGAGTGAAGTCTAGGTGAATTGAGTTATTCTAAAAGCAAATGCATTATTCATTCGTTTAGACTATTACATGTTCCTGTTGTTTGCGCTTCTCTTATAATCTTGTAAAATTACAGCGCGCACCTGTTCCATATAAGGCAAAGTTTTTTTCAACTCTGCAACCTCGCAATTAGCAGTGGGGTGCTAATTGCGCCTCATAAACGCATAAACCCATAAACGCTTGGTGATATTAAATTTATCGCGTAGAATGTTAAAATTTCACCTCCGTAATATCACGTACGACGAAAATACCGTATTATTATTGATACCGAGCCAAACTGAAAATTATTGATAGCCAAAAATGAGTATAAATAACGTTGTGGCAGAAGTATACGGAGTAGAAAGGGTTAAGTGCACCCTCGATGGAATCGGTGATAAGCATCAATTTACTCATTGAACGAGTGAACGAATCGATACATATCGATATTCGAGGCTGTTCTATCGCAATCATTCGAAGGAATGCCACGGCAATCTTTGAAATGGAATTACTAGGTCGAGCGGAATTCCTAAAAGTTTTTTCACTGTTGGAATCGTGCATGATTTTCAAGATTTTATCATTCCCAGGGGCCGTGAAGGCGCGTTACCACTTCTAATCGCTGAAAATATACGCGTACCATCTGTAACGCGACAAAGAGAGCAGATGACAGTGTAGAAAATAAATGTACTCGGTAAGCGACGATTGGACTGCATGTCATTCATAATGTAACTCAATTCCGCGGCTCGATCGATGGAGACCGATTCCGACACGCGGGAGAACCAGTTGCACAACTGATACACGTGCCTCGACTTTGACCTTACACGTTTATTCGTTTACAAATAATCAATTAAACGGAGTGCAATTCCGTAAATCCACAAAAAGACGGCGTTTATGCGGTGGTATATTCCTGTATGAATTACAGAGAAATCACGACGATCTTGCGGGCCAAGCAAATGAGAATATGTAGGCCTGTTCGATGAATTCCTGGAAACGTTGATTGATGTCCTGAACGATACACTTTCATTGCCACCCTCGATTCCTTGTGCGTGGGCGGAGGTTCGATTGAGAAACGTGTTTACGGTTGTCCACGTTTGATCGCGGATCGCCAACGCAATAACTCTATTTCATCGATCAACGCTTTGATGCACGCGCATTTTCTGCAACGTTAAGGCTTTTCCTTTTAATACCGATGCAACGTATCTGATAAATCAGTGAAAAAAAAAAAAAAAAAAAAAATGGAACACCTTGGAAATTGTCCATGACGTTGCGGCAAATTGAACCGAGCCAAATCGCTTCTGTGATTTTTTTTTTTTCCTGTCTGGTGGCAAGATCGCTGAAAGGGAGCGAGCCTGCCAGCTGGAACAGGAAGCAGAGGAAAAAGTGAAACTAGGAAGAAACGTTGAAGAACGTCCAAGCATAAGCTTGAACTCGGTCGCTGCCTCTGCGGGGGACGATTCGTTGACGCTGAAAGGAAGCTAACGGGGCTGACAGACGTTTTCGAGAGGAAAGGAGGTCGAGAGAAAAATCGCGTACGCGTTCATCAAAGAAAATACCAGAGAGCTATCAAACGAATGCGCGAGGAATGCATTCCAATGTGAAGAGCAATCTTTTCTACGGAACGTTCCAACGAGTTAATTGTTACGAATGAAAATTCAATTTGAAGAAGAAGGAGAATGGTAGGATATTTGAGGATCGAACGATCGGCAATAACCGTTAATCGAATCTGGCGAACGTCAGTGGGCGGAGGCGTGTTTACACGAGCATTCGATGTAAAAATCGCCGTAAGCGTGAACCACGACTGGTTCGGTAAAACCCTTCCGTGGCGGCACGTTTCTTACGACCTTTACCTACTTTAATTCGCGGCTACACGCACGCGCTGACCTTCTTTGGCCTCCCGTTTAATTTCGTTCACTGACGAGATCGACAGTCGCCTGCTAAATCCCGCAATGTCAAGAACGAGCAGATAAATCTTCCTAGCGAATTCTCCGCCTCCATTAACCCTTTCCGTCGCCACCAACGGCACGTAATACGGCTGGTACTGGGACGAGACAGAAGTAACAAGTACATCTTGCCACGCTAAAGTTCCAAACTCGGAGCCAACGCGATATCGATATCATTTGTTTGACATAAGTGTCGATATTGGGCCGAGATACGCGCACTGCCGCGCCGTCGTTCAAATCGTTTATTTTTAAAAATAGCACTCGACCATTTTATATCAATCAGCATCGATACAATCACTTTGTAACACGATACGATGTAACCGAAAAGCGACAAGCCTTTTTAAAGAGCGAGACGAGGAAATTGTTTTCAACGATTTCGATGAAACATAAAAAGATTGAAAAGGCCGCTGACGTAATCAATTATTGTGTCACAGTTACATTTTGTTTCGTTTCCTGATAAGGCTTGAATAAATAAAATTGTGATTTTCAGAAAAATAAAAAATGAAAAATAAACTCTGATCTACGCTTCTTTCTTTTTCTTTTCCACAGTAAACCCATCCATCACACTTGAGTGCCGGAAATGAGGGAGCTCTTTATAAAAATATTCCAATAGCGATATGTTAATCGTAACGTCATTCCCAAGATTATTATCATCGAATATAATTTGTCCTAACAAGCGATAATTGCGCTATTGCTTGCACGATAACGGAAAAAAACGATCGACGTTTCTGTAGATTCGCCTTACAGTGTAAGTAGATAATGCGATCAACCATCGGACGCGAATCCTTTGAAATATTTTCTATTCGCAATATTTCAATATTTCCACTGTCTATCGAAATCTTCGTCAGTTTTTGAAATCGTGCGAAACACGATAGTAAAAACTACGTAATGAATAATTATCTATAAAGAAAGAAATTAGGTAAATGATGATTTATTATCTAATCAGCAGGTTATCTATAATGAAGGTGTGTGTTGCATAAAAGAATTTCTAAGGTTACCCGGTTGGTGCCGTCACCGCGGCCGATTTATCAGCTTTTTGTTATCGTAAAAATTTTAACGAACCAAGCTTCTCTTTCGTCGATACGTGCTCGTTAAAAGTAGATTTAATTACAAACGGTACTTCACACGGTTATTGAAATTGTGTATCTTATAATTAGACGATCACTAGAATATCAAAATAATTTTTTTGCAATCGTGTCGCAAGAACTCTTTGAATCGAGAGGACTTTTGTAACTCGTTGACTGTTCATCCTTGAAAGCATATAATAATAATTATACTGTTAACAACTATTCTTCCATGAACAAGGAGGTACACGTCATGCGTCCTCGGGAATAAGAGGTATGCAAATTAGAACCAGTGTTCGATTTCACGAGTTCCGATTGCCGTCGAAGACACGCCGGTTTTCACGGTTACAAAGCGTGCTCCCACTCGATGAAAGGGAATTTAACTGACGATATTTCAATGTCTCAAAGAAACGCGACGGTGTAATGAAGCGTCGCCTAAAGGTTACAGATCAACGCGAACCTCGTCTCAACTAAAATCCTACGTAACGATGACCCCTTAAATGAAGTCTAGGTCAAATTTGATCATTCCTCGCCTTCCGTTAACAATGATATATTGTTTAGGAGAAATAAATAAGCGAAAGTTACCTTGAAACGAACCTCCGTTTTTTACATACATAGCACGTGGCACCCATTGAAATCGCGCGATTCGTGTTTCCGAAACGTTCTTCACATTTTTGTAATTAGATGCAACTGGCCTTGTCATTTAATCGGTCTAAATCGACCGTCAAGTTCATCGCGAATCTGAAACTGTGCAATAGTTATCGGTTGTATTTGCGTACACATTTTTCGTTAACAGAAGTTTATGATCACTTCTTTGCTTATCTATGGAAGATGAAGATACCTTAAGCCAGGGGTGGGCAATTGTTTGACTCGGGGCCACTTTGTAGAAGCGTAGGTTAGCGGAGAGCCGCACCTTTTAAAATGATTGCATTCATAAGTTAATTTTGCATAAAAATCAATAAATATGAATTCAATTTATTTAAATACGAGACGAATCTTCGGTCGCGCACGAGAAGGAAATCTCGGTTCTCGTTATTTGCTCACCTCTGCCTTAAGCACCTAATCCTTTATATCGTCGAAAATCCCGAGAGAAGAAAGTTGAAATTGTTTCAGCAAATGTCTTATGGTTCGAAGCGTTGAACCATAACGATGATTAATTAAGAATAATCGACGTCCGACCGTTGCGACGCTTCGATTATCTAGATATATGCTCCCAATTATCATTGATAGCAAAGTTTAGCGTTTTGCTGATCCGGTCATTAATTACCGAAAGAAGTTGTTTCTTGTTTCTTCCAAGTATTCGCGGTGGAGTAAAATTACGCTGTCTGCAGATTGGTGTAACGTTACATTTTCAAAGTTCGTGGTTACCAGGTGGCCAAAGCACCTCTTGCAGCGGCGATCAATTGTATTTGAAAATATTTGTTGCACCTGATTGCAGGGACGACGACAGGTACGCAAAGGTAGCGTGGAAGGATGTTAAGGTCGGCGACCTGGTGCACCTCTCGAACAACGAACTCGTACCAGCCGACGTGTTGCTGCTGCGAAGCAGCGATCCTCAGGGCGTTGCTTACATCGACACCTGTAATCTCGACGGCGAGACGAATCTGAAGCAACGACAAGTCGCACGAGGCTTCGTGGATCTGCAGGACACCTTCCGACCCGCGAAATTCCGATCCGTAATCGAGGTCGATCAACCGAGCACCAGGATATACAGGTAATCTTGGAAATAATTTGAGAAAGGGTAAGGTAAGACGTGGCTCGGTGCGATTAACGCTGGTAATTGCAGGTTTCACGGAGCTGTCGTTCATCCGAACGGTGGTAGAGTACCTGTTTCCACGGAGAATCTTCTGCTCAGGGAATGTTTGTTGAAAAACACCGATTTTGTCGAGGGAATAGTGATATACGCTGGTCACGAGACGAAAGCCTTGCTTAATAACGGTGGACCTAGGTATAAGGTAAACGAGTTCATTTTCATCAGGGCTTAATCATTTTTCAAGATTAACGTAAATTGAAAGAAAAAATATTTTTCCAGTGTTCTCGTCTTGAGAAACAAATGAACAGGGACGTGGTGTGGTGCGTTGTGATCCTGGTGGTGTTATGCCTGATCGGTGCAATCGGTTGCCGATTTTGGCTCTCCAGCTATGCCGGTTCGACGTTCGTCCCGTTTATCCCAGTCCTGCAGGATCCAAATTACGAGAGTATGTTAACGTTCTGGACGTTCGTGATTATCCTTCAAGTGATGATACCGTTGAGCCTGTACGTCACTCTAGAAATGGCGAAAGTCGGCCAGGTTTATCATATTGGCCACGATATCGGCCTGTACGACGCGGAGACGGGACGCTCGGCTGAATGTCGCGCGCTCAATATCACGGAGGAATTAGGTCAGGTGAGGAATCGATCAAATTTGTCCGTGATTTTGATTAACCCAATATCATCCCTCACTGTAATTTAATAACAAATAACAGTTCTAAAGAGAAACGGTCATTCTATTTCAACAGGTGCAGTATATATTCTCAGATAAAACTGGTACGCTTACGGAGAACAAAATGCTGTTCAGGCGATGTATCGTGGGGGGTCAGGATTATTCGCACACAGGGGACGGTGAAAATTTGGTACCTTCCTCGCGGCTTAAGGAAGATCTCCTTATAGGTACATTTAGACAACATCTACAAGAATTCCTAGTCGTATTAGCGATATGTAATACCGTTGTGGTCAATTCTCAACCTCATTACGACACTATGAACTCTAGTGGAGTGATCGAGGAGCTTCAGCGAAACGGCGATGAAACTGGAAGGTTTGTGTATGTTATTCTTTCTCTCTTATTAGCGAGACTCTTCACTGTTTTACAGTTTATCATTGTTAAAGACTTTTGAATGGAGGACGATAATGAAACACAGTTCATTATCACGTTCATGTTTCAGATACACTAGAATGATAGACTCTAGAAGTTTAACACCTTCGCCGGTTATCCCTTTGTCCACGCTGTCGCATCCGACGGATGGTCTGGAGGAAAACGTGTCGTCAATATCTTCGATGGTTGAGATCGAGTCTGTTTTAAATAACAGCAGCAAACTATCGAGTAAACTGCCTAGGTCAATATTTCCACTCTGTTTGTTATGTTTTTATAAATAGAATTTCATTTCATTTCGAAACGCTAAATAATAACTATCTGTAGGCCAAAGTTTCTAAATGTGACGTCGATACCAAGTTTAGGAATAGGATTGTTAGGAAGGAAATTGTCTCCGAACGGAGCGCAGAAAAGGCGAGGTCCGTTGAGTCCCGTTATCGGCACGAACGGCAAGAACGGAGGCGAATTGTTACCTACCGCTGCGATTTACGAAGCGGAAAGCCCGGATGAGCTCGCCTTAGTGAACGCCGCTCGTGCTTATGATGTGAAGCTTCTTAAGCGAACGGCACGAAGCGCGATCGTCGGTTTGCCAGATAAATCCATCCTTACTTTTGAAATTCTTCATGTAAGTTCCCTCCTCATGGATCAGTGAAAGTAAATTTATTGTAACGACTGATACATCTTAAATTTCAGGTTCTACCTTTCGACTCTAACAGAAAGTGTATGTCCATCTTGGTGCGACACCCTCTAACGAATGAGCTGGTATTGTACAGCAAAGGTGCCGACACCGCTATACTATCGTCTCTGACCTCTCAGGATGAAAATTCTATCACGACGATTAAAGCACGACAGCATTTGCAATCTTATGCCCGCCAGGGTCTTCGAACCCTAGTGATGGCTAAAAAATCTTTGACCGCTCAGGAGTACGAGACTTGGCGACAAACGCATACCGAAGCGGAATTAGCAATGGAAAATCGTGAATTACGTATCAAAGATTCGTATGCGAGACTCGAATCCCGTTTAACGCTTCTAGGTGCTACTGGGATCGAAGATAAACTCCAAGCTGGTGTACCTGAAACAATGGCTACCCTGATGGCAGCAGGGATCGTAATTTGGGTGTTAACAGGTATAATCAAAAGTTTACAGTTTATGATATAATTTAAGATATTCGGTTAATGGAAATTTTAAATTGTTAGGAGACAAGCCAGAGACTGCGGTTAACATTGCATACTCAGCGCGTCTTTTTTCACCCGCGATGCAATTATTGTGGTTGCAAGCGAGGTCTAAATCTGTTGCTGAAACTTTGATCCGCGGTTATTTAGAATCTGCACGAAAGGAAAGTATAAGAAGAGGAACGGATAATTTTAGAGAGATTGCGATGCTCGGTCGTGATACTGCGGAAAATGAGGCCCACAGAGTAGACAGTCCGTGGCCAAGGCAACGCGCACTCGTTGTGGATGGAAAGACACTGACTGTTATTCTTGATCCTCGGTCAGGATTGATCCGACCGTTTCTGGAATTAACAAAAACGTGCTCCAGTGTACTAGCGTGTCGAGCAACACCTCTTCAGAAGGTAGAACGAATGCCACTTTTTGGGTCTAACGTTCTGTTAAGCATAGATCTTAACCCGTTATTCATGTCACAGGCGTACATAGTGCGGATAGTAAAGGAGCAACTGGGAATGAGAACCCTGGCAATAGGCGATGGCGCGAACGATGTTAGCATGATTCAGACCGCGGATGTGGGCGTTGGTATCACTGGACACGAAGGGACGCAAGCTGTAATGGCCGCAGATTTTGCTGTTCCACGATTCTCCATGCTTAGTAGACTTCTCCTGTTACACGGACATTGGTGTTACGACCGTTTGTCTAGGATGATTTTGTATTTCTTTTACAAAAATGCCACCTTTGTCTTCCTTGTGTTTTGGTTTCAGGTATAATACTCGATACCTCTACCAAATGTACCGCTTACATAATTTGTTTTTTTAACACAACATCTTATTTCATATATGTAGTTATACTGTGGCTTCACTGGATCAGTTATGATGGACCAAATTTATCTAATGTTGTACAATCTACTATTTACCTCTATGCCACCACTAGTATTGGGTGTGTACGATCGAGTAGCTTCACCTAGTGTACTGATGTCTATGCCTCATCTTTACAAAAGAGGACGCCTTGGACTCGTTTACAAACCGCAATCGTTTTGGATAACCATTATTGATGCTTTATATCAAAGTATCGTTATTTTTTTCGTAAACGCAGCTGTTAGTATGGTCTTGAAATTATTTGAAACGTTCAGTAAAGGTGCATTGTTCTGAATAAATTGTAACTTTTGTGTTTAGATATACTATGATTCGACCATTGACATATGGGAATTTGGAACCGCCGTAATGACGTGCTGTATCATTGTCATGCTGACACATGTTGCCATAGAAGTTAAATCCTGGGTAAGAGGAATTTTCAAACAATTTTCAAATGGTACAAAATACATATTGTACGATTGCTATTTCATTTTCAGACCATAATTCACGTTTTGGCCATAATGGGATCACTAGGAGTATTTTTTGGATTCTGTTTAATTTATAACGTGATTTGTGTTAATTGTATGGGCTTACCCTGTTCATACTGGGTAATGGAAGTGGCCATCACCAGATACACGTATTGGCTTACAGTAGTGCTTACCTGTGTTCTAGCATTGTTACCTAGGTATGAAAGTTTCGTGCAGACATATGAAAAATTAACAAACATTTGAGTGTGACTGTTATTATCGTTTGTTTGACAGGTTATTTTATAAAACAATAAAATCGACTATATCTCCTGATCTCATGCAAAGTGCCACACTTAACGCACCATTAAAAAGTGGTAGCCGTAGACAACGGATCGCCGAAAGAAGCGAAAACAATTTTATCGCTGGTTGGTCGCGTTCGACTCAGCATGCAACCATAAGGTACGTATATATAAGTTTTATTTTTAATGTATGATATATGTAAATTTAGGATTTAACTCTCTGCTTTAGGACCGAAAGCAAGAACGATGCGTTAACAACAATTGTTGCATGACAGAACCTGAAAAGTCAACCAAGACTGTCAGAAGATTGTAAAGGAAAAATGGAAACTATTAAGAGTGCTGCTTCATTAGAGTTAACGGAAAGGAAAACAACACGCTTTGCCGCATTTCAACGTTTACTGTTCCTAAGGAGTGAAAAAGTATTGTTAGGAAGTGTATATTATTTTTAAACACAAGATGCTTCAGAGAAACTGTATTGTTCATTGAAATGATCGTTTATTTCTCGATCGTCTTCACTGTTCATCGATTAGTATTTTTTAATTGAATCGAGTGGCCTTAAATCTCAGACTACTATTCGTTGCATTTGATGGCTGTGACTTTTAGGGACCAAGACTGTTAGTCCAATAGCAATATCAATGACTATCAGAGGTTCATGCAAAAGATTCACATGTAGATTCATTGATACGTGTCTGCGCGAAATGTACATCAATTTAATTAAAATGTAGTTACTATAGGAATAAGCATGAAGAAATGTATATTGTAAAAAGATATATTAAATGTACATTATCTTTTATGAAATTTAGATTGTATAAATTACATATATGTAAGCTGCATAACCCGAGAGCGTCAAACGTGTGTATTTCATACTCATTATACTCGTGTATTATTATTGTAATATTGAAATAGTACACGCGATCTGCCAGTAGGTACAAAGGTTTTATTAAACATATTGTACATATAAGACGATATCGACAATGCGTTGCACGTGGTGACATAGTATTTTGATAAATATAAGTTGCATGTATGTTGCAATATCAGTAAAATCGAGTGTTGTTAAAATTTTGACATTTCATTTAACACCTTCTACTATCTTATAGAATACAGAGCATGTTACGGAGGATTTCAATTTACCCTCGCTAAATTTTCTAGTTACTTTTACAATTTTCTTGTCGATCAGTTTTCATCGCGGTTCGCCTTTCACTTTTCCCTGTCCCATTATTTCACCTTTACAGTAGCGAAAAGTATAATTTCAGTGCAGTGATATGCATAAAATTGTGAAGTAACAGTGAGCACCACTGGCTGATGCGGAAACACGGCGCCGTGGTGGGGATAGGATCGAATGGTTGAAGGTGGAGTATGGGGGGATGATCTTTTGGCGTGCTGCGGCAACGGTTGTCTCAGTACATGTTCGGTATTCTTTCTGTTAAAGACAGACAGGATTTCTGTGTACACAATTCTATTGTTCGGTTAATCGTGATCGTGTCATCCGTTCGGAAATTTCGCTAACAACAGTGGTTTCAATTTCGTGGAACGAACTTGGCTGTTATGAACCGCGCGAAGGATGAAAGATCGGAGTCTGACAAGACATTTTAAGGACTGCTCCAGTCTCGATATCCTTTCCCTCGTTAGGACTGTTTGTGCTACTGTAAGATGTTCAATGTTTCCAGTTTTTTCACCTGAACAAAATTTACAACCGGATCTGTACCACGTCTGACCGGTTTCGCAAGATCAATGAAATTGACACGTTTCAATGTTACTTTAATTCGACGTGTTTCAGTCAGATAAGAAAAACTGGTGTTACCAAGTCACGTGGTAAGCAAAGAGCTAATCAGAAATTCGATGAGAGAGACTCTTTGTCAAGGGTGTATAGGAAATCACGAAATTTCACAACAGTTTGCGACATTCGAAAGCAGGACTATGCTGTTTGTCTGACGATTACCCGGCATTTCTACTTTATTTACTTAATGATACGTGCATTATGCACAGAATAAACGAATCCGATGGAAAATGTTTATCCGTTTTATGTGAATAAATGTACCATGCTTTCTCCTTCGCGCCATACTGTACTTACGTCCACGTGCTCGCCACAATTGGAGCCTAACGTTGTGTCAGCCTTCGAAACGATACACTCACGCGATGTTACCAGTATGTTTCATTTCGTAACAGAACGATTTTTAGACATTTCTTCGTAATTATCGACTACATAACAGAGTTAGAAAATTTATTCAATAAACGTACCGTTCTACTTATCAGCTTCGTGCTTCCAGATCGCACTGTGGGGGGTGGTCTTTGAAGGCTACCCGGGAGGGACGTTATCGCACTGTTGATCGCAGAAGAGTCGTTGCACTTTACTGTGCAAGCAGAATCATAAATTAATTATAAATTATCGAAAGTTTGATTGGGATGACAAGAACGAAAATCGCATAACTGTTCGTCTAGCCGGCACTGGAGATAACAACGATCGTGTCACCAGTAATGTGGAGTAGGCCGGTGGGACAACTGATTACTTACAATGCGATAGCGATCCATGCCCAAGGTTATAAATCGAGTTCGTGGTTGCGATTACCGAGAAACGTTCGTAAAGGGTACGTTAGTTAGAAAACGCGACTTGCATATAGCCCGCGAAATATAGAAAGAAAATGAGTCACGGCACCGAGAACGGAACCGCACAAAGGCTTGGTCGTTTGGCATCGTTCGTCGGTGCTTAGTAGATACGCTTACGTTCATCCGTCGAATACAAAATCGATTGAACATATCGAGCGTCTTCGAACGTAAGAACTGGAGCAATAGCCACGTGCTCGTTCAGTAAAATTCTGTGCCAATTGCGTTAGGATTTCTCCGAACGAGCCAAACGAGTGACGTTAGAATTTTTCTGAAAGTTTCAAGATAGTGCGCGCTCGTTGAGCTCATTGTATATTCTTGATTTTGCGTGCACCGGTTACCGCGGAAAGGGAGATAAGGCTATCGGAAACAGCCATTATAAAAAATTGATATCGCGCTTAACTAGCGTCAATGAATCATCGATCCTAGCAATCATCGATCGTAACGAAAGTTGCGGTTGTTGATTTCTACGCCGTGCACCCACCTGTAGAGTTGAGCGAAACGGACCCGGACGGTTCAAATCCAAACGGACTTCTTCAACTTCCTCGATACATAAACATTTTAATTGATCGGTAGGTAGAAAACAATGTATCGGATGAATAATTAAGCGGGCACGGTGAAACAAAAGGCAGGTGTTTGGAACTCAAGGCCGAAAGGAATTGAAAACTAGTGTAAGTGGATCGGGAAGTCAAAGGTGCGCGCGTTCGAAAAGCGTGTACCGTTTACGAAACTAAAGACACCCAGATACAAGTGTAGACGACATAGAGGACGCGTTGATCGGCAAAATATTTTCAACAGACAACTCCACTTCGATCGAAGTGGGAGATTCTCCAAGGATTCCGGATACGAGGAGGAACTCGCGTAAGCTAGATCGGAACCTAGCGGACGAGCAACGGATTCATTGAGTAACCAGCTTTTTTGTTGGACGGTTGAATCAGTGTCGTGAATTACATAATCGCGTAGGATCGAGAGGGATAGACAGAGACATTGTGCAAAACGCATCGAGGATGACCTTCGCAGCCTTCTCGTCTGTCCGTCTATCGCCGACAGAAAAGAGGCCGGAGATAAGGTCGAACGCAATTTAATTAATATCTACCAGTGATCGAGCACGTTACTGGTTTGTTCGAAGCAAAACTGAGTCGAAGAGAGGATGTCGCGCGGCTGTCGGAAGAGATGACTGTGGCAGCAAGAGTGATTTCTGGCTAGAGATCTAAGGCTGACGGGATCTAAGGTAGCTCTGCAGCTGGTTACGCTGTTTCACAGTACAGGTGTACCGTGCGAGAGAGATGACAGTCACTTACACTGCCGAAGTTGCTACCTGTAGAGGTCTCGGTTGCTTTCTAAAATTACTCCTAAGGTAAGCATTTCAGACGCGCGATAAGCATCGATCTTAGTCGACCGTACGGTCTCGTGTCTTCGTATACCACCCGGCTTCTATTATGCGAAATAATTAACGTCTTCGTTATTTAAATTCATACGAAAACGTAACAGAAGATTTTTACATTTCTTTAGATAACGCGAGGTCGTCTGATTCGACGAGAATAGTACGTTACGCTGTTCATTAACGTGTACACGTGAGATTTCTCGAAATGGTTTAAAAAAAGAAATGACGACAATGCTTTTCGAACTATAATGTATTCATCTCTCGCTCGATGCAATTGGGGTTAATTGCGCCGGAAGTCAATTAAATCGAACATATTTCGAACAGACTACTCTTCTTGGCTCGCTTTTCCGCGTACCAGGAAGAATTCTCGTAAAAAGCGTGCGTCATCGGAAAATGTGGGAAAAGTACCGTATCGAGCGATGCTACGAAGATTTTATCGCTGATTTCCTCGTGCTTGAAGCGTTTGTTAGCAGAGCGTAATAACTTATCAAGGTCTCGCGCATTTCACGTGCAATTCGGAATTGCGTGAAATGTATATTATAGAAACATTTTCTCCATTTTTATAAATTGCTTCTCTCTGCTGTTCGACTTTTCCGGTCGCTGACCCTTCTGTTACTTCTCAAACATCCTTCAAGAAAATCTTCAGAAGTGGCAAGGAGCGCTAAAAGTAGGCGCTAAGTTTTGCTTTTTGTTTTCGTTTGTATCCCGTTATAAATATAGTACACTACGGGTTGATCGAACTCTGTTTAATTTTAAAACGGGAAACGCGAACCCAAAACTTTAAACTTATGCAATTCTCAGCGTTCTTTTTCTTTTTTCGATTTTCACAGATGGCGAGCAAGCATATACAAGCTAGTCTGGTTGGACCTAGCTCTGTTCCTCTTCATATATTATTCTCTATCGAGCATATATCGATTGCTGTTGGACGAGCATCAAAAGAAGATCTTCGAGGCGGTGGTGGCGTATTGCAACGAGTACAGCGACCTAATACCACTGTCCTTCGTCTTGGGTTTCTACGTCAGTATCGTTATGACCCGATGGTGGAATCAATACATGGTGATACCCTGGCCAGACTCGATCGCAGTTTTCGTGTCAGCCACCATTCACGGGAACGACGAAAGGGGTCGACTAATGCGTCGAACCATCGTCAGGTACATATCTGTTTCTATATCCCTGACAAACGGTAACAATGGAGGTTCGATCGAAGTCAAGGGGACAAAGCGTTCAGGTGAACTTTCATTCTATCGGGTCATTTCAAAAGTCTTCGTCTATTGTTCTTTGTTTTCCACAAATATTATATCTTTTCGCTTAGCGAAACGCCAACCGTTTCGTTGCGAACCTCTATAAGCGACGTTTAAGGAGACGTATAGAATGTACGAAAATAGTCCCTCGAAACATGGAGTACGTGTCACGCAGGAACCAAACAAATCAAGTACACGACACGAATGAACGATATCGAGATACTCAAAGACTTTTGAAAGGACCTTGTGTATTCACGATTACTAAAGTATCCCAACGAAATCTATGCTTCGCTGTTTCAGGTACGTCTGCGTTTGTTTGACATTGGTGCTAGCGATGGTTTCGCCCCGGGTGAAAAAGCGTTTCCCAACGTTGGAGCACTTCGTGGAGACCGGTTTACTGTTGGAGAACGAACTGGTGATATTCCAGAGTCTGAATACGAAATTTCCGAAGCCCAGCAAGCATTGGTTGCCAATCGTGTGGGCGTCGAGTATAGTAACTCGGGCCAGAAAGGAAGGTCGGATTCGCGATGACTTTGCCGTAAAGACATTGATAGACGAGCTAAACAAGTTTCGTGGTCTTTGCGGTAGTCTCATGCACTATGATACAATTAGCATTCCTTTAGTATATACTCAGGTAGGCGCGTTAGAAAAGCCGTCGCAGAGTTTTCGATACGATCAGGAAAAAAGTTTATGAAAGTTTGATCGCATTTCTACGTCGATTGTGCAGGTGGTAACCTTGGCTGTGTACACGTACTTTTTAACGAGCGTGATGGGACGGCAATGGGTGCAGAATTCGTCGACGTCGACGATCGATCTCTACTTTCCAGTATTCACGACGCTACAGTTCTTTTTCTACATGGGTTGGCTAAAGGTGGCAGAGACGTTGATCAATCCATTCGGGGAGGACGACGATGACTTTGAAGTTAATTGGATAATCGATAGGAACTTGCAGGTAAATCGTTTGTTGAGAATTTTTACATTTCTTTCATTAAACGTAATTTCATCCTGTACATATTTCTCTTAAGGTGAGCTACCTGATTGTCGACGAGATGCATCACGAACATCCAGAATTGATACGAGATCAGTATTGGGACGAAATATTCCCGACGGAGCTTCCGTACACCGCGGCGGCTCAGCCCTTCCGCGAAGAACACCCTCAGCCATCGACGGCTGGTATCCAATTATCCGCAGCCCAGCAAGAACTTCAACCCTCCTCGGTGAGAATCGACGAAATGGCCGGGGATTATCAACAAAAATTCCAACCGGACGTAGCCGACGATGCTGCGTCCGGCATACATTTTACAGCTACTGGTAAAATGTCAAGGTTGGTATAAAAAAAGCAGCACCGCTTCGTAAATGCTTCATATCATGCGATACGATTGTTCTGTTTTCATTGTTTCACCTTCATGCTTCTAACGCTTGGCCAGGAGCACCACTGAAAGTGGCAAAATAGCAAGGTAATGTTCGCTTTACTCTATGTTTCTCATTTACATTTTAATATTGGCACTTTAGTTCCGTTACTCGTAACCAAAGGTTCAAGTGTTCATCTAGCTGAAGATTTCATTCCTGCAGAACTGACGAGTATACTTGTATTTGTAGAAGCGCTAGCAGAGTGAGCACTCGAGATCGCACTCTAAGCGGAGGATCCACTCCCAGTAACCTGGGTGGTTCTCTGACCAGAGTGAATAGCGTGACTAGCGTGTTGAAGCGATTGTTCAGCAAAGAAGACAGACCAGACGGTGGTGTATCGAGCGGTATCAAGACACCAGGAAGACTCGCGAATTCTAGTTCCTCTGCTTCGTTGCAGAATCGACTAGTCGGTGCGTTAAACTTCCTCGAGTGTATCCAGTGGAAGAATTGAATTTTTTAATAAGCAAAAACATGACGATATCTAGGCCCAGGTGGTTCTATGAGGATTGGCGTGATCAAAGAGGAAGCGGACGAGCAGATGACCCTAACGTCGATGAAGTCAGACAAAAGGCCTCACGTGCAGAGTATATTTTCGCCTGGTCCTCCGCCTCCAACTGCTCCAATGGCTGTTCCTGGTACGGAATATTGTCGAAACGGAGAAATATTTTCCACCAGCGCCCCAGCAACCGGGGTAGCAGACAATGGCGAAAGCGCGAACGAAAGAAGATACATACCTGGGCC